AAAGACAAGAGAATATTTCAGTCTCCAACTGCTTTAGAAACCTGAATTCTGATCCATCCATGCTTGTTCAGAACCAAATTTAATAGGACTTAAGCTCCAATAAAAGTAATCTAAATTGCAGTTTTCATGAAAGAGCAGATATCCTCTTATCCTGAATTGTATGATACAAGGGAAGCTCATTTTAGATTAACAGTAAGGAATTTTTTTCCCGCCAGAGATTGCATGCCAGAATCAATCTCTTTACCTCGCTGCCCATGATTGGCCAAGAAGGATATATTTTTTTAAAAGCTTATATGATCTGATTGCCTTTTGGAAGCTTTTAAAATCAAGCAAACTGACAAAACTAGTCAATCCATGATTGAGATTCTGATTACTGTTATAAATCTATCAATTATAACCTTTACTATAGCAACAGTACCCATTTAATAAGTTCTATGAATTAGTGGTGCACAAAGAAATTATAAAAATAAAGCAAGATATCCGAAGTGAGCAGCTATCTCTTACCTTTCACTTCAGCTCTTGTTTCGATGTGGCTGAGGTCAGCTGCAACACCAGGCGTGTGTGCGATATCATACAGATTGAGCTGTCTGACTAAGGGGCTGTTCTTCAGCAAGAGGGAGAGAGGCTGGCCAATTCCACCAGAAGCACCAAGTACAGCCACTCTAGCATGATTCTGAATAGGGCAAGGAAAAAAAATAAGAAACACAGAGATTCAAGTGTGCATACCAGAGTTGTTTGTAAGAAGCTTCTCAATTTTTTATATCATTATCCCTTGTACTGCAGTTCAGGCCATTGTATGCTGAGCTTTGGAAGACAGTAAAGTGTTTTAACATTTTGACTGATTAGATATCAAATCTCAGAAGACAAAAGTGAACTGTGGCAATAGTAAAAACCTCTGACTGCATTCTAGGCACAGAATTGGTAACTCAAGCAAAACATAATATAATGCAGTGATTCTTCCACTATGGTGGGTAGACATCTACCACATGAATCTGCTATAGCCTCCTCACTTTAACTAGCCAGAATTTGCTCTCCAAAGTCCCATCTGTCTGCCTTCACCAACAAGGAGAGGCATGGTTGAGGCAAGCTGTCAGGAGAGCTGTGGATGAGAATGCTAACAGGCTATGACCAGCTGATTGTTGGAGAAAGCAGAAAGATAGGACAGAGCTGGCTCCAATCTGGCCAGATGATTAGCAGTGCATGTGTAGAAGCCTCTGAGAGTCCACTAGTCAGAATCTGCTCATAACGTTAATTCTGCTTCCTGTATGCACTAAGAAGCAGCTGGCCTGACTGAAGCCTGCTTGTTGCCTCAGCTCCTACCTCAAGTACTCAAGTTATTTGGGGAATAAAATTTAAAAAAAATATTTTAAAACTGAGAAAATGGGAAGGTACACAGTGCAATAATGTATGCTATGGTGTGTCAATACCTTACTAAATATTCAATATCAGAATCTTCACCTTAAAAAAAATATTTTATGTCCATATTCCTCTTGTCTGTATTGAACTAGGAATTATGAAATGCTTAACACTATGATTTCCTAAATGTAGAAATAGATTGTTTTCTGAAGCAATATAATGTGGTAACATTTAACTTATATAAATCGAAGCACAAACAAGAGATCAGCAATTTTTTGGGAAAAGTCTAAATACTTGTTGGAATTGAGCAATAAATTCTTATCTCCATTTAAAATCAAGGAGAGAAGCAACTTAGAACTAAGGAGAAATTTCCTGACAGTTAGAACAATTAATCAGTGGAACAACTTGCTTCCAGAAGTTGTGGATGCTCCAACACTGGAAGTTTTTAAGAAGAGATTGGACAACCATTTGTCTGCAATAGTATACTGTTTCTGCCTGAGCAAGGGTTGGACTAGAAAACCTCCAAGGTCCCTTCCAACTCTTGTTATTCTGTTAAAATGCCATACCCTAATCTGTTGTCCTCCAGATGTGCTAAGAATTTCCAAAAACCATAACTATAACGATACAATTCTGTATTAGGCTAGTAAAGACAATTAGCTTGTCAGCTGCACAATTGCAAGAATGTATCAGAAATCATGAGAAATACATTGAGACACAATACTGACATTTTAGTTTTTAATGGTACACTGCTGATAATGCATTTCTGTTACAATTGCAAATGTGAACACAACCTTGTGTTGCAATGAGCTAATGCAATGAACTAATGGTAGAGGGAAAATTTCCAAGATAACTCTGTGTTCTTCTGCCTGCAGTGACATCATATCTGGCCTTTAAGTTTCAGTACTTTAAGTTTTATTCACCTCCCCACAAAGTGCTACATAGTTCCAAATCCCAAAATAGGTAAATTAAATCTCACAAAGGTTTTAAGTTGTAGGGAGTTCAGGGACATGAAGAAAATAAAAGGCATTCATTGACCTAACCAAACCAAGTGTTAGACTTAAACCAAAGCAACTTATTTGTGATCTTTTCTGGGCATTTTCCCCACAACTGAAATATAAGCTAAATCCTTATTCAAATATTTTATCCACGTTTCCTCACAGACTTTATACTAATTCATAAAGTGACATCTGAAGATGAGGAATAGAGGTTTAAAAATGGCCAGTTATCTATGTACCAAATATAGTATCTGTACAGTATGTTCCTTGCTGCCTTGGTTCTTACATAGTATATCACATCTATTAAATAAGCAGAAAGAAAATGCAATGAATATATTCAACAATAACTGCATGCCAAAAGCAGGATGCATCACTAAGCTGGGAAGCTACAGAGCAAGTTAATTTCTTTAACTTCAGCATTAGGAGATATCAGGCAAGATAATCTTGATAAAAGACAGGGAATGTACAGCCCTGTAGATGTTATTTAGCTATAATTCTAGCACCCATGGAAACTTAAATCAAGCAACACCTAGAAAATAGGGCACTGATTTATGGAACAAATTCAGAGGAAAGATATACATTTCCAACATTTGCATAAACCAAATTATAAAATATTAAGCTATGAACTGAAATTCATCAAATCTAGTAACAGACATAAAAAGTTCTTCCCCTAAGACCTAGACATTGCAATACAATCAAGTAAAAATAAAATCAATCCTCCATTTTAAAGTGAAAGAACATTAAAAGGAAAAAACTTGATTTGTTCTATTGGTGGATTTGTGGGAGTTTGATAAAGCTCAATTTCACAAAATAATTTTCATATTCCATTAATTATCGAGGCCCCCTTTCACATTTTCTGATTGGCTATTTACACAGATGAACCATAAATTAAAATCCACATGAACATTTGGCCAAAACTACTTTATCAAGACTTTAGCTCCAATTCCAGAAATCCTCTTACTTAGGCAGGAACAAGATGTCTATGGAGGTTCTCAGTCATCCAAGTATGGTTGTCCCAAAGGTGCTTTTCCCCCCCCCCCAGTAGGCAATTGGACTTTGTGTTTCTTTTGAAGACGTTTCGCTTCTCATCCAAGAAGCTTCTTCAGTTCTGACCACCATCTAGTCAGAGCTGAAGAAGCTTCTTGGATGAGAAGTGAAACATCTTCAAAAGAAACACTAGAAAGTCCAGTTGCCTCCTGAAAAAAAAAAAAAAAGCACCTTTGGTGCAGGAACAAGATGTAAAATTTAATGAGGGTAAACGTTTTGGTTCTCCTCTGTAGAACAGCTGAAATTTCTATCGTGGCCAAATGTATTTTTCCCTTTATCAACCTTTGACGCTGTGTTGGTACAGGTCACTTTAGAGCAGTGTTTTTCAAACTTAGCAACTTTGAGGTGCATGGATTTCAATGCCCATCCAGCCTACAGCGAGGAACTATAGGCTGGCTGGGGAATTCTAGGAGCTGAAGTCTTTACTCTCGACTCTTCTAAATAGAAAAAGATCCAAGTCGAGACCAATCAATCAATCCTAAGGCCTAAATCGAGAATGCCAGCAAGGGAGTAGATTGCTGGGACCGCCCTGTGGGGTACGTCTAGATCTGCATATGTCTTTAACGATGCCGGCCGGAGGGCCGCCCTCCAGTCCCAGCTGAAAGAATGATTCTAAGCCCTCCATCTGCTCCGCATCCCCACGCTCCAGCTACCTGCGAGGTGGTGCCGAATCCTCTACGAAGCCCAGCGCACGCTGACTGTGTGAGACGGGAGAACATGGTGGGAGACCTCGGCAGAAAGGAAGGAAGATTCGGCGGGCTTTTCTCCTTATCCTCGACGACCTCCAGGCAGTGAGGGCACCGCGAGACTTTCCCCGAGCTCTCGCGACAATTTGGCGGTTCGCGCTCGCGACAGCCTTGCTTTAATCTCATTCTGTCTCGCGAGATCTGTCACATCGCGAAATCCCTTGTCACCGTTTTTTTTAATGCAACCAAAAAAATCCCTGTTTTTTAACGGCTTTTATTTTTTTTTAATCCTTGCTACTTTTAATTATGGAAGCCGCCCAGAGTCATTTGGGATTAATGGGCGACGGTATACATTTAATAAATAAATGAAACAAAGAACACGAACTCTTTCGTTGATTTTAGAGTGAGCATGGGGCTGTGGCTGTTTGCGTTAGTAATTCTGATTTAGAGATTTGACACATCGGCAGAAAAGTTTGCTCAGGCTCACAATCTATCAAATTGAGAATTCAAAGCACGTTTTAAAAATAGGAACAAAGTTGCTTTCTCACAAAGCTGGCGTTTGCCTTTGCAATGTAATAACGCTGAAAAAATTGAATAGCCTGCCGGATTCATTATTGGCAGCTCTACCCAGTTCTCGCTATGCTTTTCTTCCTCAAACTCTCGGGAGCCCATCTTGCTCATTTCCTTTGGCCGTCACCGGCTGTCAATTATTTTAGTTTACCTAGGCCCCTATGAATGAACAGTCATTTCTGCCCTGGGGAACCTAGCGCCTCAGACAAAGTGAAGTTAAGCGAAACGAACTTTAATACCCTTCGCACTCCAGCTTTCAAGATGAAAACGAAGAAACTTCTCAACTCTCGCGAGAATTCATTCATTTTTATAACCTGTGACTGGAACTCTCGCGATATTTTAACGGCTTCGCGAAAAAAACGATTTTTCACACCATCAGCACCGGAGCGCGAGTATGAAAGCGTGAGTGACGTCATCTCATAGTTACCATATAAAGCCTCCCTGCATGGGAACGGGAGCTTCCTAGGCCTGGTGGGTCTATCGCAAGACGTGGTGGTGGGAACTCGAAGAAAATAACCATAGGCGCAGCGATGCTTTTCTCCCTTGAAATTGCCGATATCATCCTGGACGGTAAGGACCTTTGAAAAACCGATGGTAGAGTGGATGCAACTATAGTAATTGTAACACCATGAAACTCAGTATTATAAGTAGTAGATTCTATGGTTACTCTGGTAACGGTGGACACATAGAAACAGGAATCATAATTGCCATGACAATATACATACATATAAATAAATAAATGTGATTTAATTGTATCAGCTATGCGATAGAGAACATAGAGATATAAAAGATAACCCCCCCCCAAAGCAAGGCTGTGTTTCAGAAGCATAAATGTTACAATTATATTCACATCTTGCCTTTCCTCAAAAGAATCCTTCCACGGAAGATCAATGTCTATATCTTTCTTTGTATTGTCCACAATGATACACCACAATTTCTCAAATGTGTGCCTTTCTTAGAGGGTTGAATCTGGAATCTGGAATTTTGGCTTGCAAAGCATAAGCTCTGCCATTGAGATCTCTATAAGGAAGCAATCACTATTCCACTTCAATCTATTCATCCAGACTGGTAGCATCTGTACCTGTGGGACAAACACACACACACACACACACAGAGAGAGAGAGTTAATTATTTTCCTGTTAATTTTGATGGTCTGTATCACTCTTGCCATATAGTATTGCTGTTCATGAAATTGACATGAGGCAAACTATATCACTGAGTGCATAGGCTAATTCAGCTATGAATGGGGAAGCTCCCATTTATTAACAAAAGAAGAAAAAAAAAGGAAGGAGTGCCACCTTTGTTCTATCAGTGAAGCCAATTTCATTGAGCATTGCCTCTCCCTCAATTGTCATCCTAAAGTCTAAATCCCTTCTAATATTAAGAAATAATGCCTGAATATTCTTATTTTCCTTTATCCCATCTATTTTTATGTCATACCTGTCTCTTTATTTATCCTACTGGGAGCCATTCCATCTGAAGCACAAGGCAGAGAACTTTCAGCAAACAGTGAATCAATAAAAGATATTATAATCTCTTTTCCTTTTATATCAGGTGTTTTCTTCTATAAGCCTAATCAACTGGTTTTTCACTAATTTTTGCAAGCTTTTTTAAAATTGAGTTAAAAGATTTCCTATATTGAGTGTTACCTCTATATAACAGCTCCATTTTTTATCTGCTTTTAGAGTGAAAGGCATCCTGATACCTTGGATTTCAGTTTAGAAAAGAACTTTTTTTTATTAATGGAGAAGCCACATGGGTGCGAATAAGCCTTCTACATGAATTAATCTTTAGAGAATGCGATTGGATTTTTGGCATTTTTTCCAGTGGGATGGCAGGAGTGACCTTGTGTGAACCAACAGAACTGTATAATTTGTTGAATCAGTCCACAAAGATCTCTAGATTAGCAGAGCCAAACTATCTCTGTTTACTGGGTAAGTAAAAATTAATATCAAAGATAGTTACACTAATACACTGTGCAGATGGACGTAGGAATACTGCATTGTGCCTGCTAGTCACATTTACAGAGGGTTGTAAAGCCATTCATGTGAAAGGAGGCAAATGATACATCATGATGTTATGATGCAAATTTTGCTGTTTAAAGTTCCATCTTTAGCTTGATGAAATCATGATACACATACAGTATCAACATAGCTTGTTGCAGATGCCATTGCTGTTTTCAATTTTTAAAACTCTTTCATATAAATCCTGTATAAGTGTATATTACTGTTTGAGTGTTGCTAGAACTATAAGCTAGTTGTGTACAAAGATATCATCACTTGATCCTTTAGCAAATCCTTGAAGACACTGCCCTAGCTTTGGGACTAAAGTTGATCAGCTGCACTTGAGGTTCTTACCCACTGAGACCATATTTATTTTATTTATTTATTACCTTTATATCTTGACTTTCGTTCAGGAACATATATATGTTCAGTCCTCCTATTTTTCTTCAGCAAACCAATCCTGAAAAATAAGATAGGCTTATCTTAAGAGAGTAGGAGGGGAGGAGAGAAAGAGGAGGGAAGTAGGGAAGGTATTAGAGAGGGTGGACGCAGCCTGGGGGGAATGGGCAAGCGGTACCAATGGTTATGAATTTATTCTATCTTGTAAATTGTATTCTGTATGTTGAATAAATGGAAAAATAAAAACTTTTTATTCAAAAAAAAGAAAGAAAAATAAGATAGGCTGAGAGAGAATGGTTTATTCAAAGTCACCCAATGAACTTCCCTGGAATGGATTAGAACTTGAGTCTCCTGAAGATTTCTCCACCCACAAATGTCTGGAGTAGAGATGGGAAGATTTAAAAATTGGCAAGTTGGTGGACTTAGAGTTATGATGCTAACCCTATCTCTTTAGAACATCTGCAGCAGATTAGCATAAATATAATAACCATTCCAAGGTCACCCTGCTGGTTTCCTGTGCCATTCCTGGCTCAGCACTTTAACACTACTTTTCACTGTCCCTCTTGTTGTTGTTGCTTCATCCCTGGAGGCTTTCAAGAAGAGACTGGACTGCCATTTGTCAGAAAAGATATAGAGACTCCTCCTTGGGCAAAGGGTTGGACTAGATGACCTACAAGGTCCCTTCTAACTGTTATTCTATTCTGCTATACTTTTATTCTGTTCTATTCATATAGAGTTCAGTATAGATTTATACTTGTAGATTTCATATAAATATATGTTCTTTTTTCTTGTTTTACTTTCAGATGCTCGTACCAAGAGGGAATATAATGAAAGCCACTTAATGACAGCAATACGAGTCAAAACAGTGAGTTTATTTCTGGAGAGGTCTTTGATTTTTAATCTTCTCATATACCCAAAATGAAGGATAGCAACCATGCAGAGATTTTTCTAATTGCTAGAAATTATTAATTTTCTTTGCCAATATGTATGGAAAGAAATTAGCTGTTGCTTTTATGGTCATACTTTACCTTTATGCCAACCTATGCACATTTATCCTGATGTAACCCTATCAGACAAAATGGGGCTTGTTTCTTTGTAAATATACATTGCGTAACACAACAATAAAAGAGTAAACATAACTGAAACAATCTCATTCTTCAATTTATTGACATAAATGTGCAAGAAAATAGAGTAAACTTGGCTTGGTGCTTAGAAGGCAAGAAGGAAGAAACCAGATCCCTGGGTAATTGTGTTCCAACATTTGGACTAGTGATATGAAAAGTGTTTTGAAATCAAAACAAATACAACCTTTAAAAGTCCTGTTTCATTCTTGAATGTACTTCTCAACATTACCAGTACTGTTCCATTAGTAACCTGAAACCATTCTAAAGTGTTTTAAGTTGAAAACCCTTCCTTTGAATTTTGAAAGTGAAAATCTTTAATTTAGATAATATAATTTGATTTTGATGGCTTGTTTTTGAAGGAAGGATTAGGGTCAGGATTCAGAATGGTTCTAAAACTGTTCTTAATTGGCAAGGCAGATTCATGCTAGACTAGAAATTTGTTTGTTTTGAATACAGCAATCAGTGGTTCTTGGGGAACCTGTTGTTCCATAAAGTAGCATTGAACATTTGGGGTAGCTATAGTTTTGAGATAGCTATAACATCTGCCCACTCCAATACCCATATGTGACAAACAGTGGTATAATTTCTTGGTATATTGAGACAAAAAAAACCACTGTAATAAGAGTCTTAAACATTAGTAATATCCATTTTCTTCAAAATAGTAATAGCAGTAGCACTTAGATTTATATACTGTTCCATAGTGCTTTTATAGCACTCTCTGAGTGATTTACAATGTCAGTATATCGCCCCCCCCCAACAATTTGGTTCCCCATTTTATAACCTCTGAAGGATGAAAGGCTAAGTTAACCTTGAGGCTTGTCGGGATCAAACTCTAGACTGTGGGCAGAGTTAGCCTGCAATATTGCATTCTAACCACTGCGCCACCAGGGCTCAAAACCTGGGGGGGGGGTGTAAATAAAAAAATCCCGAGGACTATCTTTCTTGTGATATAGGGTAATATTCAAAATAAGAAAATGAATGTACAGGTAATCCTCAAGTTATGAGCATTCACTTAACACTAATTCAAAATTACGTGATGAGCGCCCCCTAGTGCTTACAAGCAAGTCTTGAAGTTACGAATATTGCAGAACCATGGCAGTCATTCACCCTTACGAGTGACCACAGTGGCTCTGCAACATTCACCTTGATTATTCCCTCCCTCCCCACCCCCGCCCGGGCCTCCCTAGGCACCAGGCCTTCAATACTCACCTTGCGAAGATCAAGATCCTTCGCTTTCTTGGCTGCTCCAAACCTTTGGTATGTTCGCAGACAATGGAGGCCTAAAGTAACTCAAGTGGGGCAAGATCTCACACTACTGATCTCGCGTGATCTCAAGGTACTTTAGGCCTCTGCTGAGAACAGAACCGAAGCTGGGGGACGCTTCTGTGTGTCTCGAGGCTGGATCAGGGCTCCAGATGGCCTCCGGGCAGCAGCTAGAACTGCAGCAGAAAGGAGACGGATCTTTTCCAGGTGAGTCTGGCGCGACAGGAAGAGAGGGGGAAGTATGCGGTATCTTAGTGGGTCGGGGAGGCCTTGGAGGCCTGTTCCAGCACTAGGCCCTCCATGGTCTTCCCCACCGAGATACCTCATGCTCGTTTAACGAGCCGTGTGCGTTTTAACAAGAAAAGGAGTGATCTCCTACCTCGAACAAGATTCACTCTACAAGTTTTTGATTTACGAGTGGAATGGGCAGGCTCCATTACACTCATAACTCGAGGACTACCTGTGCATCCTAAAACAGGTTGCACATTTTCTTCAAATATTTTTAACCAATCCATATTACCCCTAGCAAGCATGACCCATGACAAGATTCTTTGGGAGCCATTATCTCTACCCTAAAATTGATCTCATCTTCTCCAACACACAGTTGGACATTCCAATGTCACCATTTATAAAGAAAGGGCTATTTCACAGCTGAAGATTTCAAAATTAGTTTTATTTTATAAGAATGGGACCATATCTTGGATATTTCTGTTAGGGTTAGGTTAACTTCCTTAGGATCCACCACAGAAATACCCCACTCCATTCTTTAGTATCTGTATTTGGTGCTACTTAATTTACCTTTGTTTGTTTTAAAGAATCCATTGGGCAAATACTTGGTGCCTCAATCCATCAATCTGGAATGTGTCCGATATTGTGTAGTATATGATGGCAAAACGGAGTCTGTGGATGCGGCTTTTAACATGGATTATGATCTACTTGAAGTGGATACAGAACTAACACGTATCATTCCTCTTTTTTTTCAAAACTAAGGAGGCAGGATAATTTGCTAAGACTTGGCTCACTCTAGAGTGATGCTCCAAAATTTCTCATTCTCATTAAATTTGGTGATGATTAGGTGTACTGGAATTAGTATCTAGAATTCCCAGCCACCATGACTGTTGGGCTCCTGGCAGTCTGAGACCAGATCATCAAAGGCTTAATTACATCAAGCAGATGCCTTACTCCACCTGAGGCTGCTGAACTGAGCCAGTCTACTGCAGCAAATGTTGTGCATGGGAACTTCTAAAATGGGGAAATGCTTCTGTATCTTGCAATAACAGTTTCAAAACCCCGTGTTAAATCTTTTTGTTTCTTCTTCTCTCCGTCTAGCATTTGACACAGGAATTGACATAAGGGAATTAAGAAAGAAACCATCCTCTGAATATAGTATGTTTTTTGTTATCATTATAGAGGCAAATCACTTGTTCATGGGATGTCCATGTAAATGGGATGTAAGGGTGTAGATAAATCCATTACTCCTTGACATGTGTCTCCCATAGAAGTACCTTCCTTTCCAGCCTTTGGGTGGGTGGTTGGGGGTGGATTTTGCAGCCCAGAACAAAAAATGACTGGCTAAACTCGTATAGTTAGATATTAATAACGTGATTATTAATGTTAGATGTGTGGCCTTAATAAAATGTGGCCTTATAAAATGTGGCCTTATAAAATGCAGCACTGCAGGCTAATTCTGCCAACTGCCAGCAGTTTGATCCTGACCGCCTCAGCGGTGACTCAGCTTTCCATACTTCTGAGGTCGGTAAAATGAGGATCCAGATTGTTGACTCTGTAAACCGCTTAGAGAGGGCTGTAAAGCACCATGAAGTAATGTGTGTAAGTGCTATAGCCATTGTTATAAGTCATTTAAATAAATACTAGGGAAAAAACAGTGGAGTGACATATAGAAAGAGACATTGCTTTTAAGAGGCAGAACTTGGAACATATTGTAATAGGAGAATATATATGTAATACAGAAATCTAATAACAAATGGGATGGACTTATTGGAGCCCATACCACAAATTAATAAATATTTTGTATCAACACTTTCCAAATGATCTGTTTCTAGATGCTAAAGAAGGCTCTGCAGCTCGCTGTGCAAGAATTATGCAGCGCCTTACCCGCTTTCCAGTCATGATCTTAAGAGGCGGCTACGAACTCTTTACAGCCTCCTACCATTATCTCCGGACCCAAAAGATATTTTGGATGCCTCAAGTACGACAAACACCATAGAGGAAAGAGCAGGTTTTCTCCTTATACTTCAAGATTTTCCCTTTTTTTTTCTTCAAGTCAAAGGAGTATTATTTTTTTATTAATAAATTGGCAGTGGGAAACCTCAGGTACCTATGCACCCCCAGATATACTGTATAACCATCTTTGTGGTGGGAAACTACAACTCTCTTCTTTGATGTTCCAATTGGTTGTTGAAAGCCTCAGAAGAAGCAAATGTCGGTCGTCCCTGATGGCTCTTTGTCTGTTCTTTTCTGTGCTTATTTTGAGAATCTTGGAAACGGCTTATTTCTTAGTTGCTCTTCCTTTCTATCCCTTCTAGAATTGTTCTCCAGCCTAGTGGCTTCCAGACTCACACCAACTTGATTTGGAATTAGCTTGATCTTGGTCTTGTGGTATTTTTAGCAATTTGGGAAAATTCTTTCTCAGCTCTTCAAGTAGTCAGCTGACTCACAAAATTTCACCTGGAGTTTTTTTTTTTTTTTTGCTAAACATATTATTATGGAAATGTTCGAACTTATATATAATCATACTAAATATTCACTTTACAACTCTGTGTGCAGATTGGAAAGAGTTATTGTATAGGTAGCCATATTTTCAGAACTTTATGATGCATCTTACAATCCAAATGTATATCAGATGTAAATATTAGGGAAAGGCATATACAAAATGTGTACATTACAAACAGTGCATTACAAAGATGTTAATGTCAAGAAAAGTAGGTACAGATGGGAGATTAGTATACATAAAAATAAGTTCAGAATTTTGGATGAGGACTCTTGTTCTTCTATAAAATAGACTGCATTCTCTAAGGCTTAGCTTACAGTATTGAATAAAGCAATGATTGGATGGTTCATGTTCCTGCAGCATTAGCTGAAAAGCAAGTATTGTTCAAAAGAGCCTCTCCCTAAGTAGGTAGATTGCACCCCAAAGTTTTGTAAGAATTATGTCTAGCATTTGATACCCAAAATACTCTTTCCACCTCTATTATTCCCTAATGTTTTTATCAGTCCTGCTTAAAACTATTTGAAAAGTTCTGCTCAGCATATAGGCTCAGACCTTCTCTCTCAGCAGAGGCTAGATTTTTATTATTCAGGAGTGTTTGAACTCTGCATTCCTTCTCTTTTCCTTAAGTAGCAAAAGCTTCCCAGATCCAATAGGCATTTGAAGCAGAAAACCTAGAGTCCTTCCTCTTTAGAAAGTTTATGGCATCAGTTTATTCCTGTTGGATATTTTTAAAGGATCCTTGCATTTTATTTAAGAACTATCCCTGTAATTTTCTCTTGTGATTGTTAAACCTTTATATACTTGAGAGTTTTCTTCTGGCTAAACTCACACTGCCTGCTTTCCATTTGTCTATGAGAAGTAGGCATCATTGAGTTCAAGGAGACTCATTTTCAGTGGTCCACAGCCTGTAAGGTTCTAAACTTCATTGGATTTGAGATGTGAAGTTTAATCACTCAGTGATACACACTCCCCTTGCAATCAAGAGGATCTTGAAAATGGCCATATTGATTTTAGCTCCCTGAGCCTGAATTTGATTCAACAGTGACTTTGAATACTGTAAGTACTTTAATAATTTTGAATATTGGAATCCCAGGTATGGACATTTAAAGTAATAATCAGATAAAAATAAAAAGCTCTGGGATGTAAGATAAAAGGCTTTTTTTTTAATTGCTGAGCTTTCGTTAACAACAGTGCTTCTCAACGTTTGTGTGACAGCGACCCCCGTCACACAAATGTTCTGCGCATGCGTGGTGCGCATGCACGGCGGCCCATGCGCGGCGCACGTGCACGGCGGCGCCCCCATGCGCGGCTCGCATGTGCGGCACCGCCCCCGTGTGCGGCACGCATGCATGGCGGCCCCCATGCACGGCGCGCATGCGCGGCGGCGCCCCCATGCGCGGTGCACGTGCACGGTGCCGCAAAAAATGGCGGATCGCCGCCTTTGGCGACCCCCGAAAAATGGTCGATCGACCCCAAATGGGGTCGCGACCCATAGGTTGAGAACCGCTGGTTAACAACCTGTTAACTTTAGCCCTTTGCTCTGATGATGTTAACAGGTTGTTAACGAAAGCTCAGCAATTAATAAAAAAAGCCTTTTATCTTACATCCCAGAGCTCTTTATTTTTATCTGATTGACTTTAATACAGTAAGTACTGTATTTTCATTGGGTAATCTGTCCCCTCCCCCACAGGAATTGGAAGCCTTTAAGCCCTATCCAGTAGAAATCTTGCCCGCTAAGCTGTACATGGGAAACTATGTGCAAGCCTGTGACAGCCAGATTCAGAAAGATCTGAAAATCAAGGCTCACATTAATATCTGTGAGGAAGCTGGCACATTGTGAGTATGCAGCCCCCAGTAATAGTATACTGGAAACAATTCAGCACTCCCACTCTTCCAGTCTTGTAAGAGAAATCACAATAGTTACCTTCCCGTGCATTATTTTTGTCCTGGATATTGTAAGGCCATTTCCAGTCATGCCACTGAATTTTAGCACTTTATTTTTTTTTTAAAGGTGCAATTTCTTATCAATGTGCAGTGGCAGACATAAGGAATTTATAAATGAAAGACCTAGAGTAGGTTTAATATTGTTTTTTAAAAGACTTTCCTCTATTTCCACCCAAAACATACCTGGAAGAAAGAAAACCAGCTTGCAGTGGCCTTCAGTCACCCTAAAAAATGTGGATTTCTTATCAACCAAAGATTGTCTACCTCAATATCTGATAGAAGCGGTTAGGTGATTGGAAATCCCCTCAGCCTGAAGGCATCCTTTGATTCCATATTCAGGTTTTAAGAAGGCATACATCCCATTTAAAGCCTCTAGACAATTTGTATCTCCTGCACAATGAGAATAGATCTATAAAATATAGACTTGGATTACCAATGATTCCTTGCCCATTTTTCAAACTCTGTTGTATTTTTTAAATTACACGTTCTTAATAGCTTACAGTATATATAGTTTCCACTACCATCACCACGTTATCTTTTCAAACAACTCCATGAATTAGGCCAGTTTGAGAATGATTGACTGAAGACCATCCTATGAGTTTTATACCTAAACAAATTTGAACTACTCCAATGCTAAACAATTATAATGTGATGATTCTGGACTGATTCAATTTTGCATGCTTTTAAGCAGATCATATTTTTCCCAGCTTGCTTGAAGACAGAGAAAATCTCCTTCATATTCCTATTCCTGATTCTCTGGAGGCAGATTTATTTTCTCACTTCGGCAACATTTGTCACTTTATTGGTAAGTAGACTCTAATGGTATTCTCCTCCCCCCCCCCCAATCCAGAGGGCAAGTATATAGCCACAAACTCTTTTTTACCTATTTATTCTGTATATTCAATCTTTTCATCATTTCACCTCATCTCATCCCTGCTAAAGAGACAGGATTGTTAAAAGCCTTCGGATTGAATTTCTTGAGGGAAGTCCATAAGTGGACTTCAACTACCAGAATTCCCCAGCCAGCCATACTGGCTAGGCTAGAGAATTCTGGGAACTGAAGTATACTTAAAATTGCTGAGGATGATAAATACTGATTTGGACTAAAAGAAAAGACCGTGGAATGGCGTGAGTTAATGATGATTAATATAGTCCAAAATTCCTGATCCTAAATTCCAAATTGTCATGAAGTCAGAAAAGTAAAAAAGAATTAGTGGTTTAGCTAGTTCAGACTGCTGTTGATCCTATCACAATCACAACCCTATAATAGAGAAACCCCAGATTTCTGGTGCCAGCTGAACATTTAGGGATCATCTAAAATTGTGAGATAGAGCAGGCTAAGAGGTAATGTGGACAAAAAAAAGCAAAAAGATGCTACAGCACATAATTAGCACCTGTCTGCAACTCCTTAAAGCAGCTGCATCTTTTTCCAGCATCAGAAAAAGAGCAACCACTTGACTTACCTTCTCTAAGGAGAACAGAGGAAAATACGAATATAGACCACTTGCTGAGGCAAGATGGCTTCTGAATAGATATGTGCCGATCAGTGTAAATTTGATCCTTTTGCTTATTGATTTGCAGAGTGTAACTTATGCCTGCATTTTTATTGAAATATCCAGACATAAATATCCAGATATGTCCATCTAGAGAACATATATAGAAATCATCATTGTCTTAGTGCGCTACTGTTTCTTGGTAAAGTTTTTCAGAAGTTGTTTGCCACTGCCTCCTTCCTTGGCCTGGGAGAGACTAGCCCAAGATCACCGAGCTGACTCAATGCCAAAGGCGGGATTAGAACTCAGTTTTGTGGTTTCTAGCCTGGTGTTTTAACCACTACAGTACACCAAACTGGTTTTCCAACTATACTGTATTTATACAGTAGTGTTTTTTAAAATTCTTTTTGTTTAGAGAACTCATGGTATCAGTTCAAATCTTTTAGTTCTCTAGATAATAGACTTCATTTCCCATTGGAATATGTAATCTGCTCATTGGCAAGTAGGCCCTAAAGTCCCCTGGGGCCATAATTCCATGCCTTCCCATAGCTGTTATATACCTTGACATAGAAAATAACTCTCATTGACATCAGTGGGACCTCCTACTGGACTTAAATGAATGAGCTTAAACTTGAAGAATTGACATTTGGCCCAACCGTCTCTCACAATTTTCCCACATAAATTGGCACCAAGATTAAAACTGTAAAAAGAAAAATTAACTGTTCTTCTGTAGAATTTATTGCCTTCAAACTCTTAATGAAAAAATGCAAACTTCTTTATTTAGATGCTCACGTCCATAAAGGAGCGGTCTTAGTCTTCTCCTCTTTTGGAATAAGCAGGTGTAGCACAGCAGTGATGGCTTACCTTATCCATTCTTGCAAGCTTTACTTGAAGGTGAGTGTAGTAGATAACCTGTGACAACCTTTCCTATTAGGTCAGTGGTTCTCAATCTTTTTATACGGCGACCCCCGGCCACACGGACGCGCCCCCATGGCGCGGCGGCGCGCATGCGCGGTGGCGGCCCCATGTGCGGCACCCATGCGCGGCGGTGGCCCCATGCGCGGCGCGCATGCGCGGCGGCCTCTGAGGGGGGGGATGGCGGATTGCGTTGTTTGGCGACCCCCGTAAAATGGTTGTTCGACCCCAAATGGGGTCGCGACCCATAGGTTGAGAACCGCTGTATTAGGTGTTCTCTGGATACACTAGGATTGTGACCTCCCAAACACCTGGAGGACACAAGTAGGGAGAGGCTATCATACACTAATGTTAGCTCTCCCCATTCCTAACATGTTTTGCCATTATGCTGAGCATTCATGGGGCTGCACTCTCACATGTTATCCTGGTATCTTTTTGTCCAAATTTCTCTTCCATTCTCTATTTTGTGTGTATGTGTCAGTTTTCAACTGTAAGACTCTTGGAACAGAAACCTACATTGTAAATTTTCTACTGTCAAACTGAGTTTGATGGTAATCAATTTAGGCAGTTCTAAAAACAGAATGCGAAATCAAAGATGATATAGTGGCCTTTATGCCAGTGGTGGAATTCAGCTGGTTTGCACCACTTCAGCAGAACTGGTAGCTAATTTTTTGTTGCCCAGGCCCAGAATAGACTTCCAGAAGCGGCATCCACACAGAGAACCGGTTGTTCATATATCTGAATCCCACCACTGCTTTATGCCCAAATTAGAACATGAATCATGTTTACTTTAAAGTGCCTCACATTATTAATGTCTCATACTGAGTCTGTCTTTTTGGTCCATTTTGCCTAATATTGGTCTACTGTGATCGCCAGTAGCTCCCCAAAAGCTCAAGCAAGGAGATCTTCCCATCACTTGCTACCTGACTTTTAGCTAGAAAATGAGAATGAAAACTATGGCGAGTTAAAACGTGGTTGTGTTACCTACTTATAGCTCCAAAGGTGTATTTAGAGGCAGTCAACAAAAACAACATGGTGTGCATGGCTGAAGCCCTGTGCCTTTTATTGTATACTGTATATATATAAAAAGCGGTGAAGTTTCTTGCTATTTAGAAAGTTTTATTACTTTATAATGGAAATACAAGAGCAAATAGCGGAAAAGATGGGGAGGGGAAAGGGGAGTAGAGATGTGAGGTAAGGGAGAAAAAAACAAAAAAAAGGCATTGACTTCCAACTTCCTTTGGTGCAATAGAGTATCAACTTCTAACTCAACTTTTTACTTTTACAAAATATTATACTTTTTACAAAATATTATAAACTAGCCATGACTAGTTTATAAAAGAGGTGAAGTTTCAACTGATGTATCAAGAACTGAACCTAGGGTTTTGGCAGATGAAGCATGTATTCCACCATGAAGTTACAGAGAACCTTCCCCTGATTATGGGTTTAGATCAGTGGTTCTCAACCTTCCTAATGCCGCAACCCTTTAATACAGTTCCTCATGTTGTGGTGACCCCCAACCCTAAGGGTCTCCAAGCGCACACTGACGCCACCCACTCACCCGCCACGCCTGGGGCTCAGCGCACCTTGCCTGTCCTCGCCTCACTTCCAAAGGTCGCCGGCCTGCCCGGCTCCAGCTGGCCGGGGAGAGGGGGCAGGAAGGCTGCTCTGCCGGCTCCACCCAGCCTGGTTGGAGAAGCGCCCAGGCGGGGAGAGGGGGAGAGACAGAGAGAGAGAGAGAGAGAGAGAGCAAGAGCCAAGAGGGCGCCAGCGCCAGCAGAGCTTAGTTCAGCCTCTTCCGCGGAAAGGGCCACGAAGCAGCGCAGCCTCCCTTAGGAGATGCTCGACGGAAACGAATCCGGCACTGCAACAGCCCCCAGCTCAAAGCCGTGCGGAGACGGATAGAGGAGCAGTGTCTTGGTTCCTAAGACCATCAGAAATATTTTTTTTCCGATGGTCTTAGGCGACCCTTGTGAAAGGGTCATTTGATCCCCAAAAGGGTCGCGACCCACAGGTTGAGAACCGCTGGTTTAGATAGATGACTGTGACTCTATGAACACATATTACAATGCAAGTTTTCTATTCCCCCAAGATGCTTGGGACTTTCCTCAAATATTGTCCCTGCTTCTGATCTTTGCCTTTTATACCTTTCTTCACAGAACGCTTGGAATTACGTCCAAAAATGTAAAAATAACATGCGGCCCAATCGAGCATTTGTGAAACAACTATCAGATTGGGAACAACGGATCTATATAACTGCCATCACTGACGTTTCAGAACCAAATTACTGATTGGCAGCTTCATTATGTTTTTATTTTTCATGAGTTTGTTTGTCAAGGTCAGAAACATATTCTATAGAATAAACTTTCAGACATCCAAAATGCTGCTCCCCAAACAGGACACTTCCACCAAAAATCTGTTTCCAGCTACAGATCAAGGAAAGTTGTAGCCCATCCCTATGGAACACTATCACCGGAGATAAGAACTGCTCCCACCCTTTTGGCCTTCCAGAAGGATATTAAAACTTGGCTTTGCCAGTTGGTCTGCGGTCCCCAGGGAGGTGCTCATTGCTGAAGGTGGTTGATGAGAAGTCCCCATCCCCATCCCGTCTCTTATTCCTGATTTCTGTATAGTTTTAAAATCTGAATCTGTGAAGTTTTAATGTTATATTTTAATTATTTTTCTATTTGTTTCTATTTTTCTATTTGTAAGCTGCCCAAAGCCACCTTTCAGGGTGGCATAAAAATTTAATAAATAAATAAATAAAAGCTACAAGCACACCATCAGCACACAGAGTTAGGAAACAGGCAATGTGCATTATGCCTTACCAGAGGAAATGAGGAATAAAAGCTCCAGCCATCTTTTTGGTGTTTGGGTTCTCAGCTATTACACCATAGGCAAAAGAGGAAGTAATACAAGGAGTTGATGGTTAATCCAACTTTATAAAGGTTCTACACAGTACCATTCGGGGCAACATCACAGGTCAATATTATGAGACATAATATGATATATATTTTTTTTTTTTTTTTTTTTTTTATTGAAAATTTTTACATTTTACAAAAACAAATCCCCTTCCCATACCCCCCCCTACCTCACCCCCCCCCCTTCCCAACCTCCCAAACCCTCCCCTGGACTTCCCAGAGCTGAGTACAGGCTTAATTAAAAAAAAAAAAAAACTTAAAACACTTTTAAAACCTAAACAAATTTAAATACAATCATCATTCTATATAAGCTCCCTCCAAAAACACAAATTTAAACATTACTTTCTTTGAATATCTATATCTATAATATAAAATCTAATTTCTCCCTCTTTCTTTATCCTAAAACGAAAAAATAAACATACAAATCTTTGTTATACCATTAAAGCTAAATACTCTTAAAGAACTTAAAGTAAGTACATATTTCCTTCAATCTTCATAATCTTCTCTCCTATCCAAAAAGAAAAAAAACAAAAAACAAAAACTTAAAAAACCTATAAGTCCTAAACAAATCTAAGCACATTTAATTAAACAAATTATTTTGTCTTAAAAATATTAATAATAATATTTAAAAACTAAAAACACTTTTAAATCCTAAACAAATCTAAATACAATCATCACTCTATATAAACTCCCTCCAAAACCACAAATTTTTAAAATTTAAAATATTAGAATCCACTCACTAAAATAAGCAAATTATAATCCCTTCAAAACACAAATTTAAACAATATTATCATTAAAGGTTCAAAACTTAAAACAACAAAGTTAATAAACACATTAAACATTTCAATCTTCACCAATAACTAATTCCATCCGTAAAAAACTACATCCTTATCAATCTCAATTATATTAGTATTATTAATTATTCACATTCCAGTTTTTTCCATTCTCCATTCTTCCATTCTTCCATTTCCCTTCTCCATTCTTGTATCAAACTCGTAAGAAATGCTGCAAGTTCTGCCTTAGGAGACTGCTCCAAAATTCCTGAATCTCCCATCGACTCCGAAGCCAATAAGGGTTCCTTAAATTCCTCCTTGTATTGATCTTTACAATTGTAAGTTGTACAAGTTATCCTCTGCCCGTTCCTCTCTTGTTGATGCCCCTCAGACTGAGATTTCCCAGTTTCCATTTCAGGCAACAATTCCACCCTTAAAGATTGCTCCAAAGACTTTGTAGGTCTAACATCTCCCAGAGATTCAGAAACCACTAAATATGAAACTTCCTTAACCTTCTTCTGTTGCTGCTTTTCTTTGGGATTATATACTGCACAAGTTGTCTTCTGCTCCTCAACCTGGACTTGTTGAGGCCTCTCACACAAAGATTCTCCAGTTTTCATAAATATAGGCTCTTCAAACTGTGATTCTACATTCTTTTCTTCCAAAGCTTTAAACTTAATTGATGGCGATGCACATACCCCCAGGACCGAAGTATAAAAATCTTTTGCTTGAGAAACAGTATTAAGTCTATAACATGTCCCCAGGTAATTCACCACCATTCCAATCGGAACATCCCATCTGAATGAAATTTTTCTCTTTTTAAGTTCATTTGCTAAAAAAGCAAACTCCTTTCTTCTTCTTAAAATTTTAGATGGGATCTCTTTAAAAATTATAACATCTTGTGAAGCAATTTGAAATCTCTTCTTATAATAGGCTTGCACAATTTCATTGCGTAAAGATCTTTTACCAAAGTAAATTACCACATCTCTTGGCAGATTCTTCTGTGCTGCCACCACAGAGTTAACCCTAAATAATTTTTCAATTTCATTAAGTATTCCCTCTTTTTCTTTATTCAAAATCAATGCAAAGTCCTTTGCAACCATCTCCTTCAGATCTCCTTGCAAAGACTCTCCCAGGCCTCTAATTCTTAAGGCATATTCCATTTGTCCATATTGAAGCATAAGAATCTCATTTTCCATTTCTTTTTCCATACTTTCAATTTTCCCCTCCATTATGTCCACTTTTTCAGCTACCTCTTCCACATGGGAGTTCACCTTTTCAAGAACAGAAGCAACACCTTCTAAAGCCAAAACAAAATCTTGTCTCAAGATCTTATTGTTTTCCTCTAAAATCTTTTTCATTTCTGCCCTAATTTGAATTATAACATCTCCCATCATGTCTTGCAAGTCCTTCATAGTTATTAGCTGACCCCCAGAAGAGGGTGAAACTGTTGATTTAGAAACTGTAGAAATCCCTGGACGCTTTGGAGCCATCTTAAAGAAAAACCTTTAGTCCTTCTTAAGCAATTATAAAAATTCCTTCAAAAATATAACTCCCTCCAAAGAAGGTCATTATAATAAAAAGAAAAAAGGGAAAAAAAGGAAGAGAAAAAGAATTAAAAAAAAGTTTTACTCCTTCTTAAAAATTACAAAAAATTAAACAGAAAAAAAGTCCTTCAAAAAAGGGTCATTACAATAAAAAAAAAAAGGGGAGTTCAAAGGAAAAAAAAGGGAGAAGGGGAAAAAAAAAATAATTAAATAAAAAAAGTCCGTTCCAAAAAAAATACTTAGAGATACCAAAAACAACCATTCCAATCATAAGGAAATAAAAAGAGAAAGGGAAAGGAAAGAAAGAAAAACACCAAAAAGCCTGCCGGTCAGCATTCTAACTTCCAGAAAAAAAAACACCGAGGAGTTTGCCGATCGCCATTTTACTTTCCCTTTCAACAAAGAAAAAAAATAAAAAGAGAGAATAAAAATAGAAACAAATCTTAAAACTTAAAATCCAAATAAGTCAAAGAAAGCAAAAACTAAATCCTCTACTCAGCTCTGTCCATTTAAAAAAAAAAAACTCACCAGTTCTCTTTAAGCACGGAGGTGTTTGCGGCGGCTCGTTTTGTCCCTGAGGACAAAAACAGCTGGGAAGCGGAGACAAGTCTGAACTCCGTGGGAGCACTCCTTTCACCCCCCCCAAAAAAAAACTTGGGGGGTGCGAAAGAGGCTCTACCACTATTCAGACACTCTCTACCCCCCCCCTTTGCCCGGGAGGGGGATTTTGAACCGCTGAACAGCTGATATCTGCTGTTCATAGCGGTTCTTACACTTACCCAGGAGGACGGCTACAAAGTAGCCGCCATCACGCACGCAAAATCCACCGGAAGTCCAATATGATATATATTTTTAAGTTCCAATTAAATATTCACTGAGCTCTACTAGGGTTATTTGGGTTCCATTAGGAGCCTTAATAGAGTAATCCCTTACAGGGAGTCCTGTAGAATATGATTGCCTCAGGAGATAAATCAGAAATCGCACACAGGTATATTAGAAATGAAGGGGAATCCTGCATAAGAAAACTACTTGAATAATCTTACACACTAGTAACATCTTGATACTCCTATCTATGCATTGAGACATTGTTAATAGAAAGGCTTCCCTAGCTTCTAACTTTTAGTGCCAAAGAACTAATCCAGATAGTAAAGTCATGATCTCAGCTCAACAACGATCAGCTTTAGAGTTCAGAAAAAGCAAAATGCATGTATGGAACTATCAAACAATAGCATGATGCCTGAGAAGCTTGCCAGTCAGCTGGCAGCAGGGGAAATGACCCACATGGTTTTAATACCACCTCAAGGACATAATCATGTGCTGCATGACAGTTTTATTATGAAGGTTGGAAGAACATGGCTAGGCTAACAATTTCCTAAGCAACACTTAGACAGTCTGCAGATTGCATGTGGCTCTCAAGCTTGTTTGCGGCAGTTAGAATCTCCCCCCACCCAAGTAACTAGGCAGCAAATTGCACAAAACTCAAAATGCCTCCCACAATTATACCACCTGCTCCAACGACTCTCACCCTGTTGTGATGGAAACGTTGTTTACATCCGAAGGGAACTAAAGAGAAGCAATAACAAATGTTGCACCAAAAACAGCTGTGGCAAGAAGCAAATCAGCATGGATCATTTAAAAATGGTCATATTTCTGATCACTTTAAAAAAAGTGACTTTAAAGCATAAGAGGAAGTTGTTTGCAAAAAGTTCTCTCCATAGTTTCCCCCAGTGACAAAACACTTCTGTGACTTTGAACACTGGTGACACAAATAATGGTCTGGTTTGCCGCTCACCTGATCTGGAAAGGGTCAGATCAGGTTACTATTGAATAAGACCAGCATAAAATCACAGGACTGAGAGCCGGGCTGGGAGGTCAAAAAAGCATCCGGAAAGAGCAAGCCTCTTATTGCTGTCAAACAGACAGTCCATGAACTGTCCTGTAGCTGAGTTAGATCCAGTGAGTCTATCTTTTGTACTGACCCAACCAATGGGTGCTTATGTAACTGATCATAGCTAAACAAACCTTGGCTTAGTAGCATAGTTAGACCACCAAGTTGGTCCGACTTCACCCATAACTGACATCCTACTGTCTAACCCACCATCTCAGAAGCAACAAAAATGATTAGGGGGCTGGAGGCTAAAACATACAAAGAAAACCTATAGGAATTGGGTATGTCTAGTCCAGGGGTAGGCAACCTTGGCTCTTTTATGACTCGTGGACTTCCACTCCTAGAATTCCTGAGCCAGCATTCTGGGAGTTGAAGTCCGCGAGTCATAAAAGAGCCAAGGTCTACCCCTGGTCTAGTCTAATGAAAAGAAGGACTGGGGGGAGGGAGACATGATAACAATGTTCCAATATTTGAGGGTTCCTACAAAGACGAGGGGGTGAAACTATTTTCCAAAGCACCAAAAGGCAAGACAAGAAACAATGGTTAGAAACTAACCAAGGAGAGAAGGAACCTAAGAACTAAGGAGAAATTTCCTAACGGCAAGAGCAAAGAACCAATGGAATAGCTTGCCTTCATAAATTGTGGGTGCTCCATCACTGGAGGCTTTCAAGAAGAGACTGGACAACCATTTGTCTGAAATAGTATAGGGGTTGGACTAGAAGACCTTTAAGGTCCCTTCCTGCTCTATTATTCTATATTCTTGAAAGTGGGGGGAAGCACAGGCTCTGCTCTCTCCTCGACCTCTCGCCCTCCTGCCCCAGTCGTCCTTCACTCTGCCCGCCCGGCGCTGGCTTCGAATCTGCGCCCATTGGCCGGGCCCTCAGCGGGCGGGTCCTCGACAGCCCTGGCGGATTGGCTGAAGCGTCCTTCCGAAACGTCGCTCCCGCCTCTTTCTCCACTCCGCCCCCGCTGTGCGGGAGGGCGCATCGGAAGGGTTGCTGCCGGTCCCTCACACCGTCGCCATGGACCGCCGGTCTTCGGTTGCCGATTGCCTCCGGGACTGGGAGGAGCTGCAGGACGGCTTCCAGCTCGTGCAGGTGCTCTTCGGAGCGGGGTGGGGGAAATGCCACGTCACGGAGAGGGGCGTTGTCGAGCGGAGACTAACGGAGCCGGGCGGAAGGGTCTGTTGGCGGCGAGCGGGGAAGCCGGGCTCAGTCCCGTGGCCGCCTCTAGCGGGGTGGCAGGCGGCGTCCCTCAACCGGGTATCATCTGGAGGAATGGGGCTGCTGCTCCATTCCCAGCCCGCAGTTGGAAAGCTCCTTAAAACAAAAAATCAAAAACCAGCGACCCGTTTTCTCCTTCTCGCTTGGGTGAAGAAAAGAGTATATCAAGCATGTGCAGATTGCCTGGGCCCGAATGGGGGGGGGGAAATGAGCCGTGCGGGCACAAACTCGGGTTTCTTTAGCCGGCAGGTAGAAGCCCAACCTCCGTATTAAAGCAGAAGAGAGAGAATAGAGTGTTTTTATATCTTCTCGTGCGTGCATGGAAAGCATTGCTGAGCATATGAAGAATGCCTTCCCCTTGTGCTTTCAGCAAGTGTGAAGTTGGAAGGTTTTCTGAGTGCTGCATATCTCTTTCTGTATCTGAAGGGGGCATTTACAGACCAAATGTTCTTGCTTTATTTTTTAAGTGGAAATGATAATCTGATCTCTGCAAAATAGTCATGTTTGGCTGGAGCAGCTTTGTATCCAGCAGTAGATACTGTATACAGAAGACATGGCGATCATTAGTTACTAGTCCAAAGGGTTATACATTATCAATATCAAGGGCACTGTACCTCTGGTACCAGTTGCATAATAGCAATTATTAGATGGCTTTTGCTCTACTGTAAATTACAAACTCAAAGGATACCTAAAATTATCTAAATTACCTGCTAGTAAGGTTTTTAAAAAAAAAAACCTTACAACTACAGTTTATCTGCTAATTCGGAATCTAGCTTCTGTTTGAAAGTTGTCTGTTGAAAAATTGACCATTTTTCTTGGCAATCTTTTCCATTATTTAGAAGATATAATTCTGTATACTGGCCAGATTCACAGAACATTATACTAAACCATTGCATTGTATGTATACAGACTCAGCCAGTTGTGCTTATTCAACAAACCATGGTTTAGTTTCAAACTTTTCAGGTTGCGGAATGTGATTAGCTATCTGAAATCCTGATCAAGAAAGAAAGCTACATTCAAAACAACTTTTTTCCCCCTTACTCTCTCACAGAACCCATCAAATTCTTGTGCTTAAAGTTCTGCAAAACAGTTTGAAAAACTTAGTTAAATATGTGGTGATCCTAAGCAGATCTTGATAGTTAAAATCTCCATTTGAGGAATTGAGCTTTTAAGTTTCCTGGAGGTATCTAGCTGACCCCTTGAAAATAGGATGCTGAGGTATCCAGATTAACTGGATCTTCTATTTTTCAACCAGATTGACTTCCAGTCCTTCTTTTTTCATGTATTATTAGTGAGGAGAAAAGTGAAGTGTTTGTGCTTGAGCTCCAGGTGCTATGGAAAAATCCTAATACTGTGCAGGTGTGGATGAAGTAGGCGGTTTGATTATGGGGTCTGAAAGGTGTGGCACAGAATATGGGAAAGCATTATCCCCTGATTCTCCAGTTGGTTTCTGAAAAGCTTGAATTGTTGATCTATTGATACTGGAGTTACTGAGGAGAAAGGTAAAGAATTTGGGGAAAGATGTTAAATAAAGTGACTCTAGCCTGATAGAGCAGCATTATTCTAGGTGTTTTATGCACCTGGAGTTTATTCTGGAGTAAAGGTAGATAGAACATCAGTTGTATTTTATTCAGTTTATATATTATATGACTGTCTAAAATACAACAATTGACTGTAGTGTCTTTATCAATCAGGTCAGAGTATTGGGGGTGGGTGGCACAGTGTTGTGCTAGTTCGCCTCCTTTCTTCAGGCTCATTCCAGTTGGTGATGATTGGGGAGGGGAGGTCCTGCCCTCAGCCCTACTGTTTGAGGTGCCTCACGATTTGGTGCTTTCTCCTCTTTAACATCTACATGAGGGCATTGGGGGAACGCATTTATTGCAATGAGTTGAGGTTGTATTACAGGTAGTCTTCGACTTAACAACCACAATTGAGCCCCGAATTTCTGTTGCTAAGTGAGACATTTCTTAAGTGAGTTTTGCCCCATTTTACAACTTTTCTTGCCACAGTTGTTAAGTGAATCACTGCAGTTAAGTTAGTAACACAGTTGTTAAGTGAATCTGTCATCCCTATTGACTTTGCTTGTCAGAAGTTGCAGAAGCTGATCACATGACCCCAAGGCACTGCAACCATCATAAATATGAGTCAATTGCCAAGCATCTGAATTTTGATCACATGACCATGGGGATGCTGCAATGGTCGTAAGTCTAAAAAACCGTCATGTCACTCTTTTCAGCACTGTTGTAGTTTCAAACAGTCACTAAATGAACTGTTGTAAGTAGAGGATTACCTGTAGCATGCTGATGATACCCAAGTATGTATCTCTGCCTCTAACAAATTAAACAATATCATGAATCTTTTATACTACTCTTCGATATTATTATACCTGCAGACTGTGGGGATCTGGATGTGGAATAACAGGCTTCAGATGAGCCCTCAGAAGACTGAGTGACTCTGATTTTGGGGCCCACTGATTCCAGTATTGTGCCATCTTTAGTGCTGGATGGGGGATGCACTACCCCAGACATATCCAATGTGCAATCCAGGGCTCCTCCTAGATTCAAAGCCCCTGCTTAATGAGCAGATGGTTGTCATGGCTATGAGGGCCTTTGCACACCATCTTGTGTTCCAGTTGCGCCTATTCATAAATAGGCAAGCCCTGCTCACAGTCACTTATGCTCTAGTTACCTTCGGTTTAGACTACTGTAATGCACTCTGGGGCTGCCCTTGAAAAGTATCTGGAAGCTTCAGCTGGTACAGAATGCAGCAACACAGACAGTTATGTGTGCTCCTAGAACAGCGCATGCTGCTGCACTTTTGCTCTGCGAGCTGCATTTGCTACCAGTTTATTTCTAGGTCCAAATCAAGGTGCTGATTTTAACCTTTCATGATATGGGACTGGGTTATTTGAGGGACTGGCTCTCCCCAATTACATCAGCCCACCCCATTAGACCTGGCACATTCAGGTACCATCAGTTAGGAACATACATTTGGTGGAACCGTGGCAGCAGATCTTCTCTGCTGTGGCACCTGCCTTATGGAATATTCTTCTAGCTGAAATCAGATTAGTTCTTCCCTATTGAAGTCCCTCAAGACCTGATTGTGTCACCAGGCCTGGAGGTCCCAGTGATCTGGAGATATGTCCAGTTGGTTCCACTATTGAGATGGATATTTCCATTCTCTCTTTGCCTGGGGTTTGTATATTTTGCTTTTATAATATTTAATTTTTAATACTGATTCTTATATTATTATATGATTGTTGTATGTATGTGTTCAACTGATTGCTATACACCATTCAGAGTCACTTTTCATGAATGGGTGGCCATATGAATTTGATTGAGAAATAAAATATTGCCATTACCAAGGAGTCCGAGTTTGTGCAATACAGGTAATCCTTGACTTACAACCACAATTGTGCCCCAACATTTCTGTGGTTAAGTGAGATATTTCTTAAGTGAGTTTTGCCCCATTTTATAACATTTCTTGCCACAGTTGTTAAGTGAAACACTGCAGTTGATCAGTTAGTAACCTGGTTAAGTGAAACTGGCTTCCCCATTGACTTTACTTGTCAGATGATCGCAAAAGGTGTGACCCAGGGACACCGCAGCTGTCATAAATATGAAACAGTTGCTAAGCATCTGAATTTTGATCACGACCACAGGGATGCTGCAAATGTAACTATGAAAAATGGTCATTTTTCAGTGCCATTGTAACTTTGAACGGTCACTAAACAAAGTGCTGTACACAGAAGGACACTACATGATCAGGAATGAAACTGATCAAGAATGAAACAGAAAAACACTAATCAGGCTTGGTAGATAATGCTTTTGTAGACATTGAATAGATCTGGTTATACAAACCTAGCTTCTGGTGGATTGATTTATTTACTACGTATACATCCCAGCTTTCATCAGGAGCCCAAAGCAGTTTATACAGGAATTTTAACCCTATGAAATTGGTTGGGCTGGGGAAAAAAATGATTGATCCCAATTACCCAGTGAGTTACAATGGATTAAGGGTGGGCTTGAAATAGGCTCTCCCTGATCCTAGTCCAGATGTCAGAACAGGTGGCATCCTTTAGCTGACCTTGGTTGCTCTTAAAAATATTAGGCAGGATCAGAGTTGATTAGCGCTTGGATGAGAGACCACCAAGACCATAGACTAGACTGGAAAGTAAAAAAAAAAAAAAACCTAGAAAAAGCAGTGACAAACCACTTCTGTATTATTGCCAAGAGACCTACATAGTTTGAAGTCAAGCTTGACTTGAAGGAGTCTTAATTGAAGAACACCTTAATTAAAGAAAAAGAGGTCTGTGCACATGGAAATAGCAAAGATACAGGGAGGAATTTTGCAATGATATTTGAATGTGTGGGTGGTGTTTCTTCCTTCCTGTTGATAATTCAGCTTATCAAAAGAATATTCTGATTCCCAAGGATGGGAATAACAGAATAACAGAGCAGAATAACAAGAATGGAGGGAATTCTCTGGACTTTGCAATTCGATGGATACTTAGGAACTTTCTGATCATTAAAGGACAACAGTTGGAAGTAAGGGAATATCTGATATTGTATCGCTGCACCTAGACTTCGGAACATCTACTGACCTTTGTGTCCAGATATCTTCTACATTTGCATACAAAGCACAAATAATTGTCCTCTGTAATAGTTGTGACATACCTTTTCAGATGGCACTGAAACTTGAATAATGACGGAGTTTACTTTGTCACCATTCTGACTTGTATTTGCATCTTGTGTCCTGATTGAAAGGTTGTTCCTTAGCCTTGTGAAGTACAATAAATTGAGCAACAGGGCTGTACTTGCAGCTCTGCCAAGCAAGCGCAGACATCTCTGCATTGAGACCAAAGTACAGTCTTGCTTAGTGATATTACATCATCAGTGTACTATCAGAAAAGGGCCAGTTTCTGAATTCCGTCTTCTCTCTTTCCCCACTTTTCCACAAGCAGAGAAACATTAGAAGGTTCTGGTCAACCATTTTGGGCTGATAAGCTACTTGATACCTCCTGGATTCAAGCACCTTGTAAAGCCATTATGGGGTTGTTTGTTTAGTATAGGTCGTCCTTGACTTACAACAGTTCATTTAGTGACCATTCAAAGTTACAACAGCCATGAAAAAAGAGACTTATGAAGGTTTTTCACACTTATGACTATTGCAGCATCCCCATAGTAATGTGATCAAAATTCAGCTGCCTGGCAACTGACTCCTATTTATGACGGTTTACAGTGTCCCGAGGTCATGTGATCACCTTTTGTGATCTGACAAGCGAAGTCAATAGGGAAGCCAGATTCCCCTAACAACTGTGTTACTAACTTAATAACTGCATTTATTCACTGGCAAGAAAGATCGTTAAATGGGGCAAAACTCAGTTAACAACTGTCTTGCTTAGCAACAGAAATTTTGGGCTCAATTGTGGTCATAATTTGAGGACTACCTGTACATTGTGTGAATTTAACCACTGTAGTTTATAACTCAGGGTCTGTGGCTTAACATTTTGTAACTTACTTATTTTAAAATATTTTCAATTTGTTTGCCATTTAAATAACTTTTTGGTGAATTATGATTAGATTAGAAAACCAATATATAACAAAGCTAGACTATTAAAATGCAACAAAGAGGTTCTTTAAAGCAGGGCTTTTCAACCAATGATATGCATACCACCTGTGGTACTTTAGCATGTGGCAGGTGGTATGCGACTGTCCTAGAGAACTGTAGCAGGGGAGGGGAATGAGCTGAGGTGACCCAAGCCTGAGGGAGAGGCAGCTGGAGCTGCAGGACTGTCGGGGCTCTGCAGAAGCCCCAGGAACACAGGGCTCCAGCTGATTGGCGCTTCCAGAAATAGCGCAGAACTGGAGGTGAACTGAAGAAAAGGGGGGAGGAGAGGCTATAAAAGGAGGTGGGTTTTGGCAGGAAAGGGGAAAAAAGATAACAAGGAAAGAGAAGAGGACGGAGAAGAAGCTGTGGAAGGAGAGCTCAGCAGGCAGAAAGGAAAAAGAGACAAGGAAGAAGAAGAAGCTGTTGCTGAAAAAAAGGTTCCCTGGTTTGTTTTCTCCAGCCAGGAGAATGCAATCAGCACTGATGAAATGAAAAGCCGGCAGATGAGCATGTTGGAAAGGAGGTGGGTTTATTTCGGAAGCTAGTGGGTTCCTGGTCAACTGGCAGCTTGAATGGATTACCATAAGGATTTTTATACAGTTTTGTAATTACAGCTTTTTGTAATTCAGAGGCTTGGTTTGTGTGCTTTGGTTATTGGAATATTTTAGTCTGTTTCACAAAGGCTAGCAATGAGTCCAAAGTGTTGGCTTCGTAGGACTGATCCCTTTAAACAAATGTAATTAGTTTTACCCCCTTATCTTGAGTCTGTCTGTGGCTTTTAGCAAGTTTTCTTTGTAGGTAAACAGGCTTAATTTAAGGTTATCACTTTTTGCAACTACCTGAGCCTGTTTGCTATACTGTTTAAACTGAGACACCTGAGGCAGCTTAAGGAAGAAAAAAAAAACCAGAGTTTAATGTTTCTTTATTCTGGGAGGCTTTTGTGAGCCTTTCTTGCTTTGTGCTTGATTCCTGTTTCTTTAAGGGTACAGGGAAGGGACTGGGGGTGTGTGCATTCTTACTACACTGTGGAAGGAGAGCTCAGTGGAAGGGAGGAAGAAGAGGAGAGGGAGAGAGGAAGAAGGGCTGACCAGCTAGCTCGGGTCTATAAACTAAGCAACTTTAAGACCTGTGGACTTCAACTCCCAGAATTCCTCAACCAGCCATGATGGCTAAGGAATTCTGGGAGTTGAAGTCCACAAGTCTTTAAAATGCCAACTTTGAAGACCCCTGAGCTAGCTGGTAGTGATGCATATTAATAAATATGGATAAATTCATTATACATTTGTCAGTGCAAAGGAAAAGTGAATCAGCAAAGGAACTAGCCACCAAAGAAATTAAAACCACTGCTTTTTTACCTTTTTCTACAGTTTGTAACATTTTATTAGATTATAGGATAAAATACAAAAGCAAATAGTAGGATACAGTGGGGAGGAAAAAAGGGGGGAAAATGAGGGGGAGAAGGGAAGAAGAACAGACTTCTTCTGTTGCAGTAGAAGGAAGCATTAACATTGAACCTCAACTTTTTACTTTTCCATAATATTATAAACTAGCCATTTCTATAACAACAAATGAATCTAATGAGTAAAACCCAAAATCCCCCCCCCCTTTTCTTTTTTAGTCATCAGGTTTTTGACACCTTGCTAAGCACTGGTGGTACTCAAATATTGTCATGTGCTAAAAGTGGTACAGTCTGAAAATGTTGAAAAGCCCTGCTTTAAAGGCATGGTGACCTGATGGTTATTAAGGTCCAAATTTGAGAGTAAAAAGTCAGGTCTTTGTCTGTCTCAAATGGATGATATCAGTGCTAGTCAGGATCCAGGAAAGAGTATTCCAAGGCCAGGATGCCATAATAGTGAAGGCTTTCTTCTGCATCACAAAATAGTACATCTCTTCCAGCTCTGGGATAGCAAGGAGGCTTCTTCTACATTATAGATTTTTAGGATCAGGTAGGTATATATTGGAAGAGGTTCTTCAAGTACCACAATCTCAAGCTATTCCAAGTTTAAAATGTCATTACTAGAACCTTGAAGTCCAAGTTGTAATATACCAGTAGACAATGAAACTTTTTAAAGTTTCTGTGGTTTCAGAAGGATGCAATTGTCTTAAAACAATGTATGGTCCCAGGTATTGTGGTTTATATAATAAATTATGGTTTAATATGTGTTAACTCATTCATTGTCTTTATGAATAGATGGTTTATAACAGCTTTCCCCAGTTTGGAGGCCTGCTAAATGTGTGAACAAGAACCCAGAACTCTATACTTGAGAACTTTGGAAGTCGAAGTGCACATATCTGGCAAGTGCCCCAGTTCGGAAAAGCTGGTGTATAACTTAGCATTTTGGATAACTTCATGACTATGGCTTGCACAACCAATCACAGTTTGAGGTGATTTTTGAAAGAACCCTGGGAACTGCTTGAAATAAGTGAATGTACTGGCTACCTTCCCACCCATGTCTGTTATTAATAATGAAGCTTTCCAGCTTTTTATTTACCGTGCATGTACTAACTTGCATTGTAGAAAAATGTCAAGTTTCTGTTCTAAGCTGTGATACTCTGTTCTTGTTTTTGTTAGGAAACTCAAAAGCAATACAAACAGAAGCTGGAAGAGCTGACAAAGCTCCAAAGCAACATCTCCAGCTCCATTTCACGACAGAAAAAGCAACTAAAGGAGCTCTCTCTGGCTCTTAAGAAGTATGTTTATAGTCATTATTCCATATTGTTTGCAATGCCTGAGTGGAGGTGCTTTTGGACAAGTCATATGTATTAACTCCTGAGCAGGCAGATAACTTTTGTATTATATCTAAATGCCAAAATTTGAATTATGAACCATGAGATTGAGTTGACTCTCTTTTTTTCAAGTGCATCAGCTCTTTTACCTACTCCTTTTTTTCTTCCCTTATTTGAAGAAGACCACGGAGCAACCAAACTTGAAAATTGTTTAATAGCTTATATTCTTCCCTTCCTCTGTTAGTCCATCTTAAAAGTGAAAAATCAGTCTGTTGAAAAGTTTTGCACACTTTGCTTCTATTTGGGCACTTTCTGTCTCAGCACAAAAGTTAGGAGAAGGTGGTAGGAACAGAATTTAAGCCACGAGCTGTCAACCTATTCGAGTGATAGGTGGGATGCTGAAAATTAATATTAGATGAGGTTTTAACTACTGAATCTGAACCTGAAATACTTTGGCCACCAAATGAGAAGAGAGGACTCATTGGAAAAGACCCTGATGTTGAGAAGGAGGGAAGGCAAAGGAGAAGGGGACAGTGGAGGATGAGATGGTTAGATAGCGGTCATTGACACAATGCACATGAATTTGGGCAAACTCTGGGAAACAGTGGAGGACAAGGAGGCCTATGGTCGATGGGGTTGCAAAGAGTCGGACACAACTTAGCAATTGAACAACAACAACAAAAGGTGAGATTTTAGCATTTTTGTCTCGTGTTTAGGTGAGAACATTGAAAGCTTATGAGTTGGACTATTTCAATTTTAAACAGCAATTTAATGCAGGGGTTGGGGATAGTATATTGTTGGTTTCTGGGTTAATTTTTTCAAACTTCTGCTTGTCTGTTCCATGTGCTAGTACTGTAGTGTATCCCCCACTGTGAAAAAAATCAGCTTGATTGAGAAATCTTTCATTTTACTTCTTAGCTTGAATTTAGTAAGAATTGGGCATGTATAACTCACTTATTACATTCTGGGGATTACTGATGATATGATTTTAAACTTTGTTTGGATAAATGCTATTTAATGAATCTTTGGGCATGTCTAAACACATTCCTTTTACTAACAATTATGAGGAAACTGAGCTAAATTTGGTTTTCTTTCAGAGCTAATTTAAATAAGCTTGTGACCATTGAATATTGTATGGTTTACATCAGGGATCTCCAAATTTAGCAACTTTAAGACTTGTGAACTTCAATTAGCTGTCTGAGGAATTCTGGGAGTTGAAGTCCACAAATCTTAAAGTTGCCAAGTTTGAAGACTCCTAATTACATTATGTTGTGCAGTGCTGTCAATCTGTGTTTAAGCCAGAAATTTGGGGTGTTTCTTCTGAATAAATCCACACATCAGCTGGCAGAAAGATTTTAAATGGAGCAAGATTATAAAAGGTTGAGCCTTTGCCTTTGAGGTCGAAGAGTTAATCTCCTTACGGGAACCAGGGAAAATAAAAATAAAATGATTGATTGTTGAAGCAGCAGTGTTAACTATTATTAAAATTAAATTTATGATAATTGAAATAAGCTATAGTGCTCTCCAGATATTTGTTTCTGCAACATTATATTTGCTTATCTACTAAAACCATGCTGGTTTGTAAATAAATCTTGCATGAATTGTAATAATTAGGTTGTCAGTTTGAGATTTAGAAGCTTTTTTATCTAAATTGTTTGGCAATTTGATGTTACAAAAGACTTTCAAAGGAAATGTTCATTGTGGACTCCGATAGCTTTCCCCTCTGCATGTTATTTCTTGCCTTTCAAGAGGAAGAAGCAGATTTTATATCCTGAATATACATTCATAACACCCTTCTATTGCCAGATATTAGTTTTGAGAATAGCGTACCAATGCTCAGAAATGTATGTTGGGAAAGGCTGTTCATTACTGCTTGGATAAGGCAGGTTCCTTTGTGACATACCCCAGTGGTTCACTTAAAATGGGAGCAGGAGGCTAGCAATTGCCTTTTTAAAAAGCCCCTTTGGGACAGCCATGACCGGGAAGACTGAGAATCTCTCTAGACATCATGGTTGGAGATACTTTCTGGCTTTCTTCTGAAAGTATCTATAAAACCTTAAGGAAAAACAAAGTTCAGTTGCCTTTTGAAAAAGCACCTTTGGGACTCCAACCCTGATCCTCACCTGTTTCCATCTCCTCCACATACAGCTGGGAGAAAAATCTCTGTGTGAAATTCTGGGGGCAGAATCTCAAGGCCAAGGCTTGGAGGCTATGAAACAGGATTTGAAAGCTTAGGATGCTGGATTTGGAAGTTTAAGGGGGGCTTCAATACTTGCTCTCTTCTTTGAAACATGGTTCCTTCTTCCCGGTCCTGTACAGGTACAAGTCTCTTCCTGACAAGGAGCAGGATGAGGATGCTCTCGAAGAACTGCAAAACATGATCAAAGAGAGACAGGATGTCTTTTTTGAAATGGAAGCATACTTGCCAAAGAAGAATGGGTAAGGCAACTGAACTTAGAATTCCCCCAAATTAACAGGGAAATAAGAATGATTCTGCTCTTAATAGTTTGCTTGATTATTTATGTGATTTACATTGCCACTGAGGTTTCACAGGTGACTCTTAAGCAGCTTACAATAAAATAAATAAAACATAGATAGTCCTTGACTTATAACAGTTTGTTTAGTGACCACTTAAAGTTACAACAACACTGAAAAAAGTGACTTCATGACCATTTTTCACACTTATGACCATTGCAGCATCCCCATAGTCACGGGATTTACATTCCGATGCTTGACAACTGACTCACATTTATGACAGCTGCAGTGTCAACCTTCTGACAAGCAAAGTCAATAGGGATGACACATTCATTTAGCAACTGTGTTACGAACTTAACTGCAGTGATTCACTTAATAAATGTGGCAAGAAAAGTCATAAAATGTGGCAAAACTCACTTAACAATTTTCTCACTTAGCAACATAAATGTTGGGCTCAATTGTGGTTGTAAGTTGAGGACTATCTGTATTTATTTAATGATTCCACCTCCAGGATGACATACCCATATCTAGGTCCCAGGCCATCTGTCAAACCAAGTTTTAAGGCCTTTAGAAGAGCCAAGAGGGTGGGGGCAGTTCACTAAATGAACTGTTGTTAAGTGAAGGACTATCTGTGGAAGATCCCACTTTCACTCTATTGTATACCTCCCACCAACCCCGTATCTAAGCTATTTGTTTAATTTTAATGTATTTATTGATTGTTTTTGTTTTTTATAATATAATCTTATCTAACAGTAAGTCTCCCAGAGTCACATCATAGTGAGATGAGCAGCGAATAAATTTAATAAATAAAATATAAGGAGATGTTCCATTTAGCTACTTATAGCCAATGGCTGTGGAAACATTTATTTATTTATTTATTTATTTATTTATTTTATGAGACTTATATACCGCTTTAAGTGCAAGCACTCTTTAAGCGGTGTACACCAGTAAGCCATGTATATATATTTTACATTGCCCCCAACAATCTGGGTCCTCATTTTACCTACCTCGGAAGGATGGAAGGCTGAGTCAACCTTGAGCCGGTGAGATTTGAACCGCTGACCTGCTGAACACAGTCAGCTAAAGTGCCTGCAGTACTGCACTCTAACTGCTGCGCCACCTCGGCTCTTGGTAACTCTCTCACATAGGCAGATATTTCATCTGAGAGAATTCCAGTATGATTCTATAGCCAAAGGTGTTTCTAGTTAGCTTGCTGCCACCAGCTCTTGGTAACTCTGAGAACAGATGTCAGTTGTGTGCTAATTATAGTTAATTATAGCAAAATCACATGTTATACCCTGTTAATGCAGTGTTTTCACAGCTGCTGTCAAAAAGAATCAGGCAGCTGATCAATATATCTTATTATGACTCCTTGAAGATTAATTTGAGTTGTTGAGTATGCCCAGAATGTGAGATTAGTATGACTCAGGTTGTTGTTATGGAGGTGTACTTTTTCCATCTTTCTATTGTGTTGCAGGTTGTACCTGAATCTGGTGCTGGGAAATGTGAACGTCACTCTACTGAGCAAACAAGCCAAGTAGGTGCTAACTGATTATGGTTTATCTCCTTGCTGAGATGTTTTACAGATTAGGAACCCCCTTTTAAATTTCAGAATATGCAAATGAAGTTTCTCAGTGTGCTAAGCCAGGGGTCCCCAACACCTGGGCCGCAGACCGATACTGGTCTGTAGCCCATTGGGAACTGGGCCATGCAAGCAGTGGGCGAGCACACAAAGCTTTATTTGTGCATGCACTGGATTAGGTTTCACATGCTAAACCATCCCCTCTCCCCACCCCCACCCCAGCAGCTGCCAGCGCTGCTACCAGTCCGTGGAGACAGAAAGGTTGGGGACTGCTATGCTAAGCCACAAAACCAATCAAATAAGCCAAGATGCTAGGTGTTGTATGTTATATGTATGTTGTTTTTGACTTGGCTTATGTCAGCAGTTGGGACTGGGACTACTATCACTAAGTAATGCGGTTGTAAAGAAGAATATCACATGACCCTCTTGCTTAGTGATGATCAGCATCCCTTTCTTGCTGTCAATAAGTGGGGACCATGTGGGTCATTAAGCAAGGCCTTCATATGACACTGACTTCCTGCCAACTCTCCCAATACAGGGAACGTTGTAAGACAGTCGTTCAACTGTGGGGATGCTGCAACAGTCAGAATTATGAGGACCTATCGTAAATAACATTTATTCAACGCCACTGTAACTTTGAATAGTTACTGACCCTAATGGTCGTAACACAAGATCCTGTACAGAATCAGATTAATTATAAACAGAGGCACAGAACAATGCATGGTGAAACACAGGTGTATTCTTTAAAAAAGAACTATACTCACCTAAGTAAAATTTAATTGATTTAATTAATGCCTGCAGGGAGGGTATTTCATTCCATTTCATTCTAACAACTCTTGTTCCTGCTTTCCCTTAATAAAACCAGACACCACATTAGAGAAGGCTTTTGGATGCTCATTGCTAGGCAGGCTCATATGAAAATAAGGTGTTCCTTAAGATATCAGAGTCCCAAGCTCCAAAGAGTTTTCAAATCAAATCAATATTTATTATAGTCACAGACATTTCATTGCCATACAGGTAGTCCTCACTCAGTGACCAATTGATTCACAGCTGTTCAAAGTTATGATAGCCATGGAATAGGTTCTCTGCGGCCCATAAAGCAGTCTCCAGCCATTCTGCTATCACACAACTGCGATTCATGATGTTTTTGTTGGTTTCTAGCAAAAACCCACGCATTTAAATGGATGGGTTTGCTTAACAACCATGGCATGTGTTTGACTGCAGCACTCACATAGCCACGGCAAAACAAGGCCAGAAAATTACTTCCAGTCATGTGAGTGCTTCAACTTACAACTGCAATGACATGTGTCTGTAATTCTGGACTCAGTTCCAGGCATATGTTGAAGACTCCCTGTAGATAAAGAGCTTCAAAAGCTCTTCTCCATCTACCATCCTTCAGATTATGTTGGAACTCCATTTTAGGATTGGGGATTTGGGGAGTTAACTGTCACAAGGTACTTGAAAGATAGCTGGTTTGGAGCCAGGATTACAAATGGCTATTGGAACTGGTTTATTCCCCCTCCCTCTCTGCCGCCCCATCTAGGTTTGCATATAAGGATGAGTACGAGAAGTTCAAGCTTTATCTCACCATCATTTTGCTCATCATCTCCTTCACCTGCCGCTTCCTTCTTAACTCCAGGTGAGTGCACAGTCCTGAAAGTTGGACAATCTCTCCCCTTCCTTTCAGCCAGCTGAAGTTGCTACCTCCAATCCTTAGAGGACTTTGGGAAGTGGCATGGCAGAGACGGCTTCCTTTCTTGGAAAGGCAACCAGGTGTTGAAGGAAGCAGCACTTCAGTACAGTGAGATTAATTTTACTAGACATCCAGTAAATGTAAACCTGCTAAAAATTGTAAGCTGCCAACTTTAATTGTTGATAGTGATAAGAGGTAGAAGCAGTGACACCTCCCTCCCATTCTTTACCACCTGGGCTTACACCCAGCTCAGCGTTACCATCTTCTATGCAGATGAGAAAGATTTTGGAAAGCCAGCAAAACTTCCATTGTTATTAAAAGGGAGGATTATTTAAATGGCAGAATCTTCCCATCACTGGAGCAGAGGTGAACAGACTGGTGCCATTTCCTTGGAGGGAAGGAAACATACAGCAACTGTCCCTTATTCTGGGATGTGAAAAATAACTTAGATTCACCATGAATACAGTAATGGAGGGAGAGGAGTTTTTCTCACGCTTTCTTTTTTATGTGTGTGGTGAGGGACCTCTTAAAATTGGGATTGTTACATCATTGATGAAATACCATAACTAAAATGACTAACAGTTTAGCAAAGTGGTGAAGATGTTTTTCCCTTAGGCAATGGAAGAAATGTTGCTGATGGAGCTGGCATGAGATGGTTAATTGAGGATTGTGCATTTTATGTTTACATTGGTTATTGTTTCAAATGGTCATTTTGTTTTTAGTGTCCTATGTTTTAATTTTGTTCACTGCCCATAGTTATTTTGGACAGCTATATAAGTTTCTTTAATAAAGAAGTAATAATCATAGGGAGTAAAATGTTAACCCTCCATAGTGTTACAGCAAAAGGCACTTGGTAACACTGTGTACACTATAAATGGTTGATAGTTCTATGTACCCCACCCTTTGTAACTTTACAAGCTTAGGCACGTGCTCATCCCACAACGCCGTTATGTGGCAGGTTGGATTGCTTGGCCCAAAGTTCCCCCAGTGAGTTTCTGTGGGTGAACATGGATTAGAATCCAGGCCTCCCTGATCCTTGTCCATACATAACATAGATAGTCCTTGACTTACAACCATAATTGGGACTAGAATTTCTGTGACTAAGCAAAGTGGTTAACTGAGTCATGCCTGAATTTATAACCTTATTTTTGTCATGGTTGTTAAGTGAATCACGCAGTCATTAAGCGAATCCAGCTTCCCTCATTAATTTTGCTTGTCAGAAGCATCCTGGTAAGATCACAAAAGAGCCTTGGGATGCTGCAACCTTTGTAAATATGTGCTGGTTGCCAAGTGCCCAAATTTTGATTGTAAGTCGAGGACTATCTGCATTTAGCTGATCTTGGCTGATCTTTAAAGAGAGATCCAACCTAGAATTAAGGAAAAAAATTCCTGTCAGTGAGAACAATTAATTAGTGGAATAGGTTGCCTCCACAAGTTGTGGGTGCTTTAGTATGGGAGGTTCTTAAGAAGAGATTGGACAGTCATTTTTCTGGAACGGTATAGGATCTCTTGGCAGGGCCAAGAGTTTGGAATAAAAGACCTCCAAAGCCCCTTCCAATCCTATTCTACGTTCTGTGTCCTCTAGCCCAGGGATAGAAACTGGCAAGCAGCCACTCACTTCATCAGACAATTATATTACTAAAATTGACCCATCACTTTCTCACTTTTTATGACAGGGTAACTGATGCTGTCTTCAATTTTCTCCTGGTCTGGTATTACTGCACACTGACAATTCGAGAGAGCATCTTGATCAACAATGGTTCTAAGTAAGTAGTGCTTCTGTTCAGCATTTCTCCTTCCTTAAGCTCACGTATATATTTAGCCAGTGCTCCCTGTATCTTTTCTGCAAAATCTTTCCTAGTCCGGCTTTAAAATTCAGGGAATTGAATTTGGAAGCATCTCCTTAAAAACCCTGGCTTACATATGCAGTCAGGGGGCAGGTCCATCTAGCACAGTACTTCCTGTTCTGACTGCAGAGATTCTTCAGCATTTCTGTGGAGAAAATCATTCCTGGATGTTCTTTGCAATCTTAAGAGTAGAATGGGGAGTATGTCTCCTCAAGAGGCAATTCAGATGTTTTCCTTAAACGTATGGTCATTGACACCGTGTTTGGTGTTCAGTGCAAGATATTCCTTTGTGGAACTGGATTCTTGATTTTCTTACCAACAGGCCCCAATATGTGCGAGTTGGAACAAATACTTATAATACCATTTCCATGAGCACAGGTTCTCCTCAGGGCTGTGCCTTAAGTCCGCTGCTGTTCACCCTGTTGACCCATGACTGTTGTGCTAGGTTTGCCACCAACCATATTGTGAAGTTCACAGATGATACAACAGTAGTGGGCCTTATTCATAATGACAAGATGGAAGCTTACCGCAAGGAGGTTAAGGAGTTGGTGAACTCGTGTAAGGAAAACAACCTAGTTTTAAATACCGGAAAAACCAAAGAGATATTGTTGATTTCAGAAAAGGCAGGTATAGCCACACATCTCTGTGCATAAATGATTCACCTGTGGAGATGGTTACCAGCATCAAATTCCTGGGTGTGCAGCTAATGAGTAGGCTGGCTTGGTCGCTCAACAGTGAGAAACTGGTAAAGCGGGCACAGCAGCGCCTGCATTTTCTGCGTCGCATAAGAAAAGCACATCTTCCTTCCCCTGTCCTGACCACTTTCTACAGGACGATCAAGAGTATCCTGTCATACAGCATCACAGTTTGGTTTGAAAGCATCACTGCTTCAGATAGGAAGGCGGTGCAGAGAGTGGTGAGAATGGCCAAAAAGATCATTGGCACTTCTCTCCCTCCCATCCAGGACATAGCACAGAAGTGCTGCTTGAGCAGGGTCCGTAAGATTATCTGGGACACTATACATCCTCTTCATGACCTGTTTTCCTTGTTACCTTCTGGGAGGAGGCTTCGTGGTATCCGAAGCAGAACATCCAGATTCAGCCATAGTTTCATTCTATATAGCATTAACCTTATGAACTCTCAAGCTTCCTCCTTCCGTTATATATTCAAGATGGACAGTATTTAATATTTATTTGTTATGTATATGTAGGGGTGTGGGTCTATACATATGTTGTATATAGTATGTTTTTAGGCCGTGTCATGTACATGTTTCACTTTGAGAGCAGGCAACTAAATTTCATTTTTGATGTGTGCCGTTGTGCCCACAGTAAAAAAATGACAATAAAGGTTGTCTTATCTTATCTTACTGCCCTTGCACCTTCCAAATAGAGCTCCCAACATTGTCTTAGTATATTGGGCTGTCGTGTTTAAAAAATATATATTAATGAAACTGGTTAACGTTTGCTCTTCCAGGATTAAAGGCTGGTGGGTGCTTCATCACTACATTTCCACCTTCCTCTCAGGTGTCATGCTGACTTGGTGAGTCTTTATCTCAGTTGTCTTGGCAATTTCAAGAAAAAAATGAGGATAATGCTTGTGATTTCAGTGGTTTTAACTAATAGCCTGAGAGTTTACTTAATTCCTTTCTGGAGCCTTCTAGGAGAATAGCCAGGGTCCATCACATGTCAGTGAATTCCGATTTCAGATATGTTTTTGCATTCCCTCTATCTTTGCAGGCCAGATGGCCTTATGTACCAGAAGTTCAGAAACCAGTTCCTCACATTCTCCATGTATCAGAGTAAGTGGGACTGCATTAAAGAAGAGGGAGGAGGGAAGCGGTTGAAGACCCACAAGTATCAGGGGGTCAGTAAAATGATAAATTCCAGCCTTTATTTTCATAGCTACATTGCCAGAATTCTGCAACATGGAACATAGAATGCCATTTTCTAAGGGAGGCTTCTGTTTGAATGAGAATAAGGGGCAGTCAAACAATTCTATGTAAGGGTTTCTTCATGGGATGAAATTGAGATGAAAGGGTAGTGGCATAGGAGATGGCGGTGAGGCAAAGGGCAAATTGCTATAGCTGAAGCAGCTCAAATGTATTTGAGCTTTTCCCCCCCCAGTACTGTGAACACTACATGTTTTTATTTTTAAGAAAGGAAAAACCACACTACCACCAAAGGTAATGGATGAAAAAGTTTAAAACTAAGCTTGGCTGGTTCAGGAATTCTGGGAGTTGAAGTTCACGAGTCATAAAAAAGCCAAGGTTGTCTACCTCTGCTTTAGAGTAACAATGAAGGATGAATAATTTCAGTATCTTAGTGTATATGCTATTCCCCTGAATTTTGATCTCTCTTGCTGAAATTTGATAGGCTTTGTCCAGTTTCTTCAATATTATTACCAGAGTGGTTGCCTGTACCGGCTGAGAGCTCTGGGTGAACGACACACCATGGATCTCACTGTGGGTAGGTAGCAATTCTGTTTTCTCTTTTTCCTTTGCTGAGGCAAACTCTCCTGTGTGAGGGATGGGGATGTTCCTTCACTAATGGTTGTGAGGTCATCCCTACAGAAGATGCTCTTCTGGTCACTGGGTTTTGAAAGGAGGAAGAGGGGGCTCTTAGTGGCCATAAAAGTGGGATCATTGTGAAATACTAGGGCTGGGAAGCCACAGCAGGCCAATGCCATATGGTCAGCAAAAGCTTCTGTCTAGGTTTGCTTTGTCGGTTCTCATCCTGCAGGGATGCTTGTATGATCCATAATCCCTCCAAATTGCAGTCTTTCCCTAGCCTTGGATACTGGAAGTAGATCTTAGGCTTGCGTCATCAATTTAGATCAGGCCTAGTTCATATTTGGATGAGAGATCTGAAGGGAATCCCAGGGCTGTAACCTATATTAGCAAATAGAAAAAACACCCCCAAATAAGGCAATGGCTATTTCATGCCGTAGCCAAGAAAATTACATAGGAGTGTCTCTGAATTCACCTGATGAGCTTGATATGAGGGGACTTTTTTATCATGTTTCATTCTGGCTTAGAGATATTAACATTTTTAGAGTCCTCATCTAGGTATAGTTTTTAAAAAACAGAGAATTGCTAATAGCCATGTTACATATTTTACAAAAAAAAATAAATTCTGAATCTGACTAGGAAATAGGTCTGCTTTTCAAGCCAGCTTACCCTTCCCTTCTCAAAGAGTTGAGCCTTCTATTCTTGCGGAGGCAGACTTTTAACAATGTTTTGCCTGTCTCTAAGCTTCTCTATTTCCTTTTTTGGCAATGCTAGCCTAGCAGAGGTGAGAGGTCTGTGTTAACTGTCAAGTCTTCCAAAGATTGCCATCTCCAGTCAGTCTGAAGAGGCCATTGGGACTGCTGGACCGTGGCCTGATTTCTTTGGCTGTGCATTTTTCCTTGCAGAAGGTTTCCAGTCCTGGATGTGGAGAGGCCTCACTTTCCTGCTTCCGTTCCTCTTCTTCGGCCAAGTAAGTGTATTTCACTTCTTTGGGGATTATCTTTCCTCTCGGCAAGACAAAACCAGGTTTATTTGATCTGACAGGGGAATAGTTTCTTCAGGGGAGTTTATTTAATTAGCTGTTTATATTCTGCCTTTTATTATTTTTTTAGAAATGATTCAATGTGGCAAACTTAATACTCCTCCTGCCTCCTGTTTTTCTCACAACAACAGCCCTGTGAGGTGGGTTGGGCTGAGAGTGAATGACTGGCCACGAATCACTCGGCCTGCTTTCATGTGTAAGGCGGGACTAGACAGTCTCTCAGGTTCTAGACTGGTGCCTTAACCACTAGACCAGGGGAAGGCAACCTTGGCTCTTTTATGACTCGTGGACTTCAACTGGCTCAGGAATTCTGGGAGTTGAAGTCCACAAGTCATAAAAGGTTACCTACCCCCGCACTAGACTAGAGTAGACTAATGTAGAGTTCTTATATATATTTTGTCTTTTCTCTTACTAGCTCTTTTTCAGGGTAGATGTATACTTTGTTTATAAACAACTGACTAAATGAGAGTCAATGAAACGTTTATTTCATAATAACATATTTTATTTCATTTTATAAATATACAAAGTAAATTAGAGAATTGAACTTTTACTTCATAATAATGTTATATGAAGATTAATGTGAGATGCTTAAAGGAACAAGCTTCCTTCCCCTCCAAACCTATTTACAAAGTGAGAATTTGTTACAAGGGATTGTAATATTAGTATGGGCAGCATGGGCAGGGCAGTGAGGCCAAGTCGCCATAGAAACTGGCAGGTACAGGGGATTCAGCCATACTTTGTGGTTTGAGAAAATTTATCTGATTCCTTGTTCTGTTTTTGTGTTTTAAACCTATTGTACTCCTTACAGAAATATTGTATTTTTCCCCATCCCAAATGCCAGCTTTTAGAGGGGGAAACTGCCTAATTTTCTCACTGTGCTTGGTACAGGGCTGGAGGGGTGGGAGTGTCAAAAAAAAAAAGAGAGATTGAGATGAAGAGTAATTGAAATAATAATTTGATGTATGACTAGTGTTCCATGTGTCTTTTTTCTCCTAGATGCACCCATTGATTAACTCATGGAATAATCTGCTTTGAGATGTATTTTGTCCCAAGTAAACTCTCAGGCTTTATTGTGATAATTAAACTGCCAAAAAAGCCTGTGTTTTTATGTTGAAATTACGGCGGGAGGGGGGGGGGCAGCCGGCAGGGATGCTCGTCTGAGCAGAGAATTCTCAGGTAGTTTTGAAAGAGAGTGTTTTGGCTAAAAATCTAAAAGTTCTACTGCCGAAAACCAGTGGTCTCACAGTGATGCAAGTGATCTCACAGCGATACCTTTGAGGGTGGGAATCTGAGATATTGCAAATAAAACAATTACGGTATCTTCTCTCTCTCTAGTTCTGGCAACTGTTCAATGCTGTCACACTCTTCCAACTAGCCAGCCATCCAGAATGCAAAGAATGGCAGGTAAGTGTAAATTTGTAGGCACAGGAAGAGGAAATGCTCTGTTCTTTTCCCACACTTTCAAAATCATGGCCCGGTTGCATCAATTGCAAGCTTTGTCATTACTTTCAGAAATATCCAAATGTCTTCTAAATACTGCCAGTGTGATACTCATGGTAAAATACATGTAACTCTCTCAGTAATCCTCCCAAAACCCTTTGCCCGTTATATCCGCTTTTCTCATAGTGTGAATAACAGTTTTTAAAAGATTACAGGCAGGGGATGGAAGGTTATCAGAAAATTCAAAGGGATTGTTATCTCAGCATGGCTGGCTAGGAGAGTGTGCCAATCAGCTTATAGCCTGCTAGTATTGATTTCAGGCAAGAAAACACCTACCTTATATTTCTGACTTGGGAAAATGAAAATAGGTTTCCTCAAAATGAAACCTAGATTTCAAGAATTATACAAAGTAATCAAATTCATTTTTATTATAGCATTTTCAGGTTTTTAATACAATGGGGAGAAGGCATTCCACAAGTTCATGCTGTTTTAAGACTCAGAGTCATGTAGAGTTTGGGAACTCCTGCTGTAAATGATGAACATCATGGCTCAATGGTAGAGTATGAGCTTTTTCAGTCATAGAATCCTTCCAGACTAAAGTGGTGATAAATCACATAAATAAATTAAAATATTCCACAAAGGGCGGCATGGTTGGGAAATCCCTGTTTCTGCCAACATCGGGTAGAATAAAAGTGTGTGTTCCAAGGGCTTGATTGTAAAACTGTTTCTTCTTTAAGGTTAGCTGGGCTGCTCTGTAGGGATGAAATGTTGGCTCAAAAATGAGCCGAGGTGGCACAGCAGTTAGAGTGCAGTACTGCAGGCCACTTTAGCTGACTGTGTTCAGCAGGTCAGCGGTTCAAATCTCACTGGCTCAAGGTTGACTCAGCCTTCCATCCTTCCGAGGTAGGTAAAATGAGGACCCAGATTGTTGCGGGCAATGTAAAATATATATATACATTGCTTACTGGTGTACACCGCTTAGAGAGTGCTTGCACTTAAAGCGGTATATAAGTCTCATAAATAAATAAATAAATAAACATGTATGAACTGATCTGGAAGTTGAGTCATGGCAACTGGAGTTCTTTTCTTTTTGACTTGAAATATTTTGCTGCTTACCCAAGTAGCTTCTTCAGCAGCGAGACATTTCAAACCAAAAAGGTCCAGTTGTCATGACTCAACTTCCAGACAACTCTGCTGGATAATGGAGAATCTTTATTGACATGTGCAAATTGATCTTAATCTAAAATCAAGACTGAAAGGTAGGGCAAGGCAGAAGGAGGAACTTTCAGAAGATTAACAAAGTAAATAAGAAACACATACTGGATTTCAGAAACTGGAAATGCCATGTAACATGAAACAGTGCCAACAAGGTGTCCTGAAAAGAGGATCCAGTGTTGTCCATTCAGTCTGTCTGCTAAAAAAAGAAGTGCTAGTGAATCCATTGTTCTGCCTGTTTGGGATGTGAATAAATAAAGGAAGGTACAAAAACATGTAAGCAAATGTCATTGGGCTACTGCCTGCCTTCAGATGATGCTGTATGCTGGGATGAGGAAGTTGTGATCCTCCAATTATTGCTACATCCCCAACAGATTTAGATCGGGCTTGTGCAAAAGATATTTCACAAAGAATATTCGTATGGGCAAAGCTCCCATCTTTGAAGCATTAAAAGCAGCTATCTCCTTTTATACAGCTGCTTCCAAGGCTGTTCCCAATCAATTGTGTGGATAAAAACAACACTTTCTCTAAAAACATCATCAAAGTGAAATGGTATAGGGTCTCCTGCTTGAGCAGGGGATTGGACTAGAGGACCTCCAGGGTCCCTTCCAGCTGTATTCTATTCTGATCAAATTCTGATTAAAGTGACTGTACATCTACACGTAAAGACAGCTAAGGACAGCCTTATAAATATACAAGCCTCAAAAGACATAGCTGCTTTAACACTTCGAACTAAAACTCATAGTAAAATACCTTTCTGATGCTTTGCGCTGCTCTTCCTGTTCCACTCTAGAATTCCTGACAGTTTTGCTAAATTTATCTTTAGCAGTCCAATCCTTTTGAGAACTGCTCAGTCTCTCACTCTCTCGCTCTCTTCCTCTTAAAGCAGTAAGCACTGACTATTTTAATTGCACTGGCAGGTCCTGATGTGCGCCTTTCCCTTCCTCACGCTCTTTACTGGCAACTTCTTCACCACATTACGAGTTGTTCACCAGAAATTCCAGAATAAGACCAAGAAGGAATGAGCCTTCAAGTGCCTCTCCCCCTTCCTGGTTATCACTGTTGGAAGGAGTGCTACTACTCTGCTGACTGAAGGATCCACAGCACGCTGGGTGTTCTTCTCCTCCTCCTCCTGCCTCCCTGTGATTCTCTTGCATACAGATGTCAATGAAACCACGTCTGAATAGTGCTTCTGCCACTAGTGTGGGGCCTTGAAGCCTTCCTGCTGCCAAAAGGAACTCTGGACTTAATCAGGTGTGAGATTCAAGGATTAGGGTAAAGTACTGTATGAGGAACTCAAGTGACTCTTGGATACAACTCCCAGCTGACACCTGCATGGTTTTTGTACCCTTCCTCCAAAGCACGGGGCTGTCTGCCCAAACTGAGTCACAGGAAAAGGAAGGGAGCAGGTTCAACCTAGACCATCTAATGTTTATTACTGAGGACATTAATTGTATTATTGGAAGCAGATTATATGGGCAAAGAGTGTTCTCACTCTTTCTGCTGAGTTGATTCTTTCCTCCCTATCTCCAGAAATGTTCCCCTATCCTAGATTTCTTTCTTATTATGAGCAGAGGGGACAGTTTCTCAGCTACACCTTAATACAGAGCCTGCTTTCCCTCCTCTGTGTATATTTTATGACATCTGACATGATTACTTTCAGCCACCTCGTCGCAATTCTCCTCCTGGAGTTGCCTTCTCAGCCCTTGAGGGGCCAAAGACCTAGCGCTTCTACCCTGTGCTCTTTGTTTGGAACATGGATTCACAAGCACCTAGGATGCATCCTGTCAGAGAAGCTGAAAATAACCTTTATTTGATAATAGTTGGCTGAGCAAGCAGCAGCAGCAGCGATGGCACCTGGCCTCCTCCAATCTCCGTCCATAACTGGAAGAAGCTGGCCTACATCTGAACATGCATTGTTGTCTTTAAATATGTATTCTTGTCATATTTAAGGGGGGGGAGCTGGAAAATAAAGAACGTAGAAAAGCCTGGGTCCCTGGCACTTCTAGGCAAGGGAAATAGTACCAAGTTAAGGATATAAAATTCTGGAATCTCAAGAATGTAACCGCTGATTCTTAAATACAGCGCATAGACACTTCATAAAGCTCAGGCTTCTATTGGGAGGGCACCATACACCATCATGTGTCTCAAGACTACAATCCCATGTTTTAGGAATGCTGCTGAATCACACTAAAAACCTAATTTAGCATTCTGCTCCTAGAATGAGCAACCAGATCCCACAAGCAGGCCAGTTGTGGACCTCAGCAAATGCGATCAAGAGGGTTCACACCATTTTCAAGGGAACTTTATAGACTCACTGAAACCCATTACATTGAAAAAACATTTGAAAATAGTGCGAATCCAAAGCATGCATGGCCTGATTGGTAGCAGTTTTTCTTCACTGGCCTTTGGAATTTTTTTTCTCCCAATTTTTTCTCTTGCCGAAGAGGGAGATGGGAAAAGTTTCCTCTGTGTGAGATGCTTGGCTGGCTAAGGTCAGTGCAGAGCTGTCTGTGTGTTTGGATTAAAATTCCCATCATTCCTTACTTAGCCTTGGTTAGTACTGCTTACCCACCTGAGAGGGGAAGGTCAACAACTAGAGAAGATGGTTCCTACCCCAATTTTAGAAGGAGGACGACTAAGGAAAGCCTTATTCTTTGTGAAAAATTGCTCTCCCACACATTTCCAGAACTATCAAACTGGGGAAGACCAATTTGGAACACGTAGAAGAATGACTACCTGTACTGTGGAATCTGATAGTTGCCTTTGTCTTACAGCAGCTACCCAAAATATGATGAATGAGTCTCCTTATCCCTTAAAATGTGCTTTACTGCTATGAGGAATTTCTCCATATGCTATAGAAAGCAAGGGTTATAAATATTCTATTAATGCAAGTTTCAAATACAAAATTGTTGGGGTTAAAAAAGTAAGATATTTGTACCATCACTTGGATACTGCCTACGGTAGCAAATATGCCTGCAACAGTAATATACTTGATCATGAAAGATATGGTATCCATTCTCAAAGGTTTGGAATCTTGGGAATTGTAGTCCTCTCTCATAGTTGGGGAAGGTTAAAGGGACTTCTAATGGATGAAACATTGGATTTTATTCTGAATGCAAGCATATCCTTTACTTAAGTGATTTGGTGCTATCTTAATGAAAGGGCTGTTGCCTTAATCTTTGGTCTCTATTTAGGGCAGCATTTTCCCCAGCTGCCCTAAATAGTGGCAGGTCGTTATCAAGAAGGCATATGAACCTCACCCAAGACTCGGCATTCAGAAGAATTTGCAAAGCCAGTCTAGTTTGGAACTAACACAGCAAAAAAAATGGCTAGCTAGTCTTTTTTAGAGCTACAGTGATATACAGGAGGTATGAGCTTTCCTGAGATTCTTGGGAAGTGGAAGAGCTGTGTATCACCAACCTAACAATGCAAATATTGTTCAAAGCACTGGAATTTCTTTCAGCTGTTTTATTTGGATATTTTTAAGCAATGTTTTGATTTTCTCCTGTCCCTTAAAACAGATGTTGCAAATCCCATATCCCCTGGTTTGCTGGTTGGTCCCTTCTTGTCTAATGTGTAGATACAGAGAAATGTGGTACAAGACAAAATAAGCTAAAACACACAGATTGTCCTTGAGGTAGTCTTATTAAGCTTATATGGCTGTCCGTCTATCAGAAGGAATTATGGGCAGCAGACAGGAATCAAAACCACAATATTAATTAAAACATTTAAAGCAACACTGAGGCCCTGATTAAACTTGCATCCCTCAACCATACCATCCACGTCCCAGCCCCATTGCCTGAGAGAAAAGCCAGGGTCTTCACTGCTTTCTGATGGCCACCAGAATTGGGGCCAGCCATATTTCTGAGGTGAAGCTGTTCCATAAGGCAAGCGCCATGACAGAAGGCACAGGGAAGACTACTATTGCAGTCTTTCTCATAGGTTGATTTCCAGATGTGCTGGGTTACAGCTGTCATCGCTGAACAAGATCATTGGGCAGGTAGGCTGAAGATGACTGGTTTAATCTATATCATGCAGAGACAGGTAGATAGGTAAAGCTGAAATTGCACTGCAATGATTGTTAACAGAATGAATGGGAGGATGTATGCAATGGAGAAAATTTGTTTTGATATTTACAGGGAAGATAAATACAGAATTCCCTTTCCACATTCTTTTAAGCATTTTAGTCACTGATCAACATCACATTTCCAGATAATGATACATGATGTTGGGAGGGGGTGGGGGGAGACTATAAGTAATTGGAAGGAGCCCTGTTTAAAGCCCTAGAGAGCTGGTTTGGTCTAATGGTTAAGGCATCAGGCTAGAAAGCTGGAAACAGTTCTAGTCCCAATGTAGGCATGAAAGCTGGCTGGGTGACCTTGGGCATGTCACTCTCTCAGCCCAACTCACTTCAAAGGCTGTTTGTTATGGGGGAAATATGAGGAGGAAGGTGTGTTGGATTGTTTGCCACCTTATTTGTAAAAAATAGTAAAGGCAGGATATAAATAAACATTTTTTAAAAAAAAATACTAGGATGCATCGAATGTCATTTTGTTGGAATTATCTAGTTGCTCCACCCGTCGAGAGATCCTGAAAGTTTTAAGACTTGCACCTTGTGGAATATTTAATCCTTTTGATCTGTGAGTTAAAACTTGATTTCATTGTACTTTCAGTCCCAACTGAGGGTGCCTACCTTTGCTTCTCTTTGCGGTTCATGTTTGTTTGTGATACTCCTTTGAAGTAACTTATTTATGGTTAGGTTGTTGGCGATGGTATAACTTCTTTGTTGCTGAATCATGTGAGACTGGTTAGTTTATAAATACATTAAAATAGCAAGAAGGGCAAAAGAATACTCAAGGCAAAATATATTTGCATGTTTAAATGTGTCAGGGCACAGAACTTTAGACCTAGCATGTTGAGTCCTGAAACAGCACTATGAAGTACAGGGCGTCTGTAGAATCTGCTATGACTTTAGATGTCTTTTTTAACAGGAAGGCAGCATGGCAAAGACAGTCTACCCACAGATGTTCACCAGAATGGTAAAATATAATCACCCAGTGGAGGGTGATCATTTCTCCAAATGCCAGATTGTTGTGACTAAGGCTAGAAGCACTACCTTCTAACCAGCAGATGTTTGCATTCTGGTGAAATATACCCTTTAAAAAGTCCCAGACAAACTCTACTACAGTAATGGAACTTTTCACTTCCTTTCCTTTTCTTTTCTCCCACTTCCCATCCAAGTTTTGACTGTAGATAGTAAGCAAATTGCAAAACTAAATATACTACTGGGGGGGAAAGTACACATTTTCTCATGCATGGCCCTACAGAGTTAAATTATAATCAAAGTATACATAAATAAGCTTGGTTCTTATGAAGCAAAGCTTCTTCACCTGCTGTTTTAACAATTACAGCTATGGCTTTGTAGCTGGCAAAACTTCCAGTCTCCCTTCCCCGCAAAAGTCCACACACAGGCAGAAGAGGCAGAACAAAAGAATCAGAGGTTCTTTTATTTCAAGAAGAAGTCTTCTTAAAATTATGTACAATCGGGGTTCAGAAGAGCAGCATGGGACTGCAGGCATCAGAGCTGGGTTCCAGGATCTCACCCAGTGAGGAACAAAGCAAGGGAGAAATGGAAGGGGTGGTTTGGAGAGCACTCACACTCATGTAAAATAAGTTTCCCCCAAGAGGGGAAGAACAGACTGAGATATCCTAAGCAGGTTCCTCTCTGCTCCATGCTGAGGAACAGCATCTAGATCCACCATCACCCTCCACACATGCCTGCTAACACACAGGAAGATGAGAGTTTCATTTTACTGATCCTTCTTGTAAGATAATTCCAACTGCTGCTATCCCTTGCCTCCCAAACTCCTTTTGCCTCCTCTTCAGACATTTCCCTGGCACCCATCCCACATGAATCCCGACAACCAGCTACTGACCAAAATGAAAATCGTTGCCAAAATATATTCTTCAGTTCAACCCAAGAAAGACCCTGGCCTGTTGATCAGGCTAAATGGGACTGTTGAAGGGCCAAGGTCATCTAAGCACCATTTCCACCCAAGCAGAGATACTTGTGAGACAAGAAGGGTGGTTCCTTTTTGTTGGGCAAAGAACAGGCAGGAAACCCACCCTCAGATATGTCCTGTAGCAGCTACCAACCAAAGAAAGAAAGAAAAAGTGAGAGAGAGAGAGACATGCCGGTATTTCTCCACTTCTCTGAGAGTCTAGCTCAATGCAATTAGATCTTGCCATAGAAAACCAAAGCCCACTAAATTCATCCTGTCTAACAGAGAAGGGGTAGGAGCTGGAGAAAGTCAAAGTATGCACAGATGCTTCCCTGGAGGCAGAATGATGAGTCCTTGCCCTGCTCTTCCACCAGCCACCTGAGACACCCCTCCTTTCTGCAATAAGTGCCCCCTAACTCCAAACATCCAAGGAGTATCGGCCCTTGGTCATCAATTTCTTGACATAGTCCACAGCCTGCTGCTGGTTCATCTTGCCATATTCAGCTACAATCTCGTAAAAGGTATTCTGAACATCCCGGGCCATGTTGCGTGCATCACTAGGAGGAAGGAAAAAAATAGAGAGTAAAGGGTAAGTCAGTGAAGAGCAGTGGCTAGAACTCAAGGGAGATAAAACGCAATAAGCAGGCTTGGAGAAATGGCATCTTGCCAATTTCAGAGAACTCGGGTGCAGACAAATTCTGCCTTTCAACCCTGTGGAGGAAAACAGAATCTAAAGATGGGCAGGTACAAGGTGAGGACTATAGTATTTTATAGATCTAAGTGACATAAGCACACTAAATGTCCAATTGCATGCAGAAGGTCCCACTTCAGTCCCATTTATTTCCAGGCAGAGCTAGGAAATGCCCCCACCTGAATTTCCCTCCCAAAATTGTGCCATTTATCTACTGATTGGGGCAGGGAAACAGAATTTCTTCAACTAAGCCAGTTTGATAGGACCTGTAGTCTCCATGGATAGTTGCTAGGTCAGCTGCTGAGTTGGAATGGCATAAGAAAGCTTCTTAGACGTATAGTTGGCTATTTCTTGAAACAAAATCAAAGCTTCTCTTGATGAAGTTAAAGACTGAAGTTTGTGAGAAGACAGATGGGTGCCATATTATGAGACTGACTGACATTCAGTCGTTATATCCAGAGAAGTTCAACCACTTCCCTAACTTGAATTATTTTGAACATTTTTGCGCTTTCAGCAAATTCTTCTGCAAATTCATATTGATAATTTACATACTTCGCAACCTTTCCTGGTGCCCTCAGATATTAATACCAGAATTTCCAGCCAGCACGGCACTGCTGTTTTCTTTCTAACTCTTCTGCCCCAGGGACAAAATTACTAATTACTTGTTTTCAAGTCAATTTCTGACTGCTCACTGCAGCAAGAAAATCTGTGAACAAGAAGAGCCTTGCCATCCTTACCCGCACACGTAGATGTGACAGTTTCCTTCATTGATCAACTTCCAGACATGCTCCTTGTTCTTTTTTAGCAGGTGCTGCACATAAATCTGAAAGAGACAAAACTGGGTGTCAACGGGGCCTTAAGAGCTGCGTATATCCTCTGTGTCTCCTTCACCATAAAGACTGGAATCTACTTTTTTTTTTTAAAGGTAGATATGAGGACTACAAAAGTGCTTTTGAAAAAATAAAAATGCCTAGTCCAAAAATCAGCTGAACCAGACTGACAGTGGGGAATGATTTAGGAAATGGAAAATGTCTTTATCAATGTTTTCTAGAATTATAGAAAACATGGGCATATTTGGTTCTTTTTTCTCAACAGAAGAATTATCCAAGCACAAAATATACAAACAGCCCATTTTTCAAGCAGACCAAGCCCAACAGGACAAGTGAATGCAAATGCCCACTGATGGTGGAACGTTTAGATAGAACAGGCTTACCTTTTCTGGCTGGTCCCTCGAGAAAGCCACATTGAGTTGAGTAAGGGCTCCTTCTTTGACAAATTTGGCAAGTTCTTCTTTGTAGATGTAGTCCTCCTTCTCATGTCGGCAGCCAAAATACAGCACAGTCTCCCCAACCTCCTTGCCTAGAACATAAAGACATATATTCCTCAGTTCGGAGCTGCTGAGTGACCTTGTGTATCCTTGCAACAAAGAGCAGTCTGAATGTGCTTCTTCAAATCTGAGCTCTAGTTCAGACAATATAACAAAGCAGTTTGGGAAATCACAAAACAGAAATCATTGAAGATAAAAATATGAAAGCTATTTGCCAGTAATTGCTCTGATGGAGAAGAAAAGCATACTGGGTGGGGGGAGAGAGAGCTAGGAACCTCATGTCTTCCACAAAGTGAAATGTGAAAAGATTTACTACAGTGTTATAGTAGTCCTCAACTTATGACCACAATTTCCACTAAACTTTCACTGATAAGCAAGGCGGTTGCTAAGTGATCCCATCCGATTTTATGACCTTTTTTGCCATGATTTTTAAGCTACAGTTGTTTAGTGAACCATGTTAAGCAAATCCAGCTTCGCCTATTGCCTTGGTTGTCAGAAGCTACCTAGAAAGGTCGCAACAGCATTCATGTAAATACACACTGGTTATCAAGCACCCAAATTTTGATCACATAGCAATACTATCAAAGTGAGCGCTTAGACTTCTATACCGCTCCATAGTGCTTTACTGCCCTGAGCCGTCTACAATGCCAGCATAATTGCCCCCTACAATCTGGGTCCTCATTTTACCATCCTTGGAAGAATAGAAGAATGGAACCCTGAACTCTAGACTGTGGGCAAAAACAGCCTGCAATACTGCATTCTAACCACTGGGCCACCAGGGCTCCTCGCATAACCCTGGGGATGCTGTAATGGTCGCAAGTGGAAGACTTTTTTCAGTGCTGTTGTACCTCTGAGGAGTTGCTAAACAAATGATTGCGAGTCAAGGACTACCTGTATTTAGATGGAGAATTCATTTATTCAGGTTCCTGCTTAAACCAATATACCTGAATGTAGGTGTGCCAAACCCAAGGCAATACAGAAGACTTTCGCTCCAATTTGGCTATGAGTGAAAGATTATTTGGGGTTGCATTGTCTGCACAGTTAGGATTCTGTCCTTTGAAAAGTTATTTTTCTCCCTCACTGAGTGCTTTTCTATAAGGTATGGACTGACTCTGATTGAGTTATTCTATTAAAAGGAGAATCAGCCAAAAGGAACTGCAGCTCCATTATGGCAACTGCAATAGTTTACAACATAATGTATGTTTTTGTTTACAGAAGAGATAAACGTGAACTGGTTTGCAAAAAAGTCATTCACAGACAAATTAAAGATGGATTTTGCAAGCTGCCCGAAGTCTGCTGGAGTGATGATGATGGTGGTGGTGGTGGTGGTGAGGAGGACGAGGAGGGGGGGGGAACAATGATGATTTATAGCAATTATGCAAGGTGATACCAGTAAAAATGGATGGAAGCTTTACCTAGCTGAGGATCCAAGTTCTCACCCCAATTAGCCAGCTATCAGACAACTGTTTTAGGGAGGCCTTGAAACAAGACACAAAAGCCATTGGGCACACACATTTAAGGCCAGAGTAATGAAGTGGTCAAGATGTTTGATTCAATGCAGGGAGACTTTAATTCAAGCCCCCGCTCAACCACACAGCTCACCAAGCAGGCTCTGAACCAGTGACTCTGTCAGCCCAACTTGCTTCACAGAGTGATTGTTTGGATGATAATGAGGCAAGGTAACTCATATAAGTTGTTGGGAAAGAAATGGAACGACTAAGATAAACAGCCTACTACTGCCTCTGCAGTGAATGCTCTATTTTGCCACCATAGTAACAGTCTGGATTTCGCTGTCTTGCTTTCCAAGCAATTTAACCTGGGACCCCATTGTTGCTCGGGGGGCCAATCTGAGCTGAGCACTCACCTTGTTGTTTCAGCCAGCCCCGCTCCTGAATAAAACCGATGAAGGGAGCGATCCCTGTGCCTGGCCCAATCATGAGGACAGGAGTGTTAGGTTTGAAGGGCAGCCGGAACTGGGATTTCCGGACATATAAGGGCACGGTGGATTTGTGCCCATTCTCATTGGGTTGCTTGTTCTTCAGCCAGTTAGTAGCCACCCCTTTATTTACTCGGTTCGTTTTGGTAGTGTACTCCACGACAACGGAACAGATATGGATGGAGTTTGGGTGCACCTGGAGAGAAATGCAAGAAAGAGCCATCAGGAGCTTTTAGAGACAGCAGCTCTAAAGTCCTAGATTATATTTACATCACACACTTTGCTTAGTGACAGAATTAATCTGTCCAGGGTTCAGACTGAATCATAAACCAAATGAACTGAGGGCATGGAACATGCTGTGCTAACCAAGGTTAAAAGAAAAAACAGAGCAGAGTAACTGGAAGGGACTGGACTTGGAGGTCTTCCAGTCCAACACCTGCTCAAGCAGGAAACCCTATACCATTTCAAACAAATGATTGCCCAATCTCTTCTTTAAAATGTACAGACAAGAACTGTGACTTGGGTTTCCTTGGAGTACAAGGAGGCAGAGAAACCCAGAACTGAGGACTAGATTCTGACTTCAATACTGAAAGATAGTAAGGTTCAAAATACACGTTTCTAGTGAAATATGACCACAAAAATATGCTCAATATTTAGGCAATGTCTCAGTGGATTTTCAGACATCAGAAAAAAACCGAGTAAGGGAGACAGGCAACCTTGTAGACCATCCAGTCCAAACCCTTGCTTGATGCAGGAAATCTAGAATTATAACACATCAGGGGAGTTGTCCTGTCTTGGCTTGACAGCCTCTCTCTAATGAGGTAGTACAGAGTCCTCAAGTTTTCAGACTGATTGGTTGATTATGAGCCATCAAGTTGGCAGCCACATGGATAGATTTTATCCATGATGATCTGTTCCTAATTGGTTCCAATTTTTGGATTGTTCTTACCAAAAACTGAATATTAAAGAAACTTTCGACTATTCAGCTGACTTTTCTGTATATAAAGATCCTGAAAACTAGATCTTCCTTTCAAACAGCAGACAACAAATAATTGCCTTCTTACATATGGCAACTCTTTGGGTTTTGAAGACCATTTTCCTGATCTTCTCTCTCCATCTGCTCTCCACATCCTGGACCATTTGTTGCTTTCATTTGAACCCAGTTTGCCACAAACTTTTTCTA